CTTCTTAGCGCCATGGCAAGGGGAATGTTGATGACACGCCAACCACCATCAGTAGAAGGAACAAATTCCAAAAAAACTTGCCACTTTGCCACTCTCGAAAGGTTGCAGAGAGCTGAACGCAGTCCCAAAGAACTCACAAACACCACCTTGTTGCGAAAGACCCAACGCAGAGGACCCCCAGGGGTTTGAGCTTCCACGAAGCGCGTTGGTCCACCCCAAGCCGCGTTCGCACCACACAAACCATGTCAGGTGCGGATACCTGACGCACAAATGGACCATTTGACAACTCTCCAAGTCATGTGCACGTGTGGTCATCCAGAACATATTTACACATTGCCCTGATCCACGAATAAGAAGAAGGAGACATCACAGCGATGATGCACTCCGCTGCTCCCTGACGCGGTGATCTGGGCTTGACCACCTCAATGTGAAATTGTAGTCGTTGGCTCTGCAGCTCCATCAGCCGCAGCCACACGGAAGAAGAAGGAGTCTCGTGGGCTTGGTGAGCCGCTTATTGTCGAGGGCTCCTTGTTACTCATTACGCCACTCGCTCCACTCGCTTCCCTCGCTCGCTCGCTCACCCGCACTTGCTTTGCAGGCGGGGAAGGAGGGCAACAGTCCCCGTGGTGCCAGGGCCCCCGAGACCTTGGAGCCGAACATCAAACGCCGAGTGGGGCTGGCGGGCAAACTCCGATCTAAATCCCTTCTAATAGGGTGGCTGCTGGGCGCGGATAGTGCATGCGTGCGTTGGTGTGTGTGTGCGTGTGTGTGGGTGTGTGTGCGTGGGTGTGAGTGCATGTGTCTGTGGGTGTGTGTGGGTGTGATGCTACAGCTTCCCACGTCGGAGAATGAGGAGGCTTACCGCTGCCTTCGCTCAGAGGTTCGGAGAACCGTGAGGCGCTGCAAGGATGGGTGGTGGTCGCTGGTTGCTGAGGAGATGGAGTCTGCCTCAGTGGACCGCAATCACAAATCTCTATTTAACTCCATCAAAAAAGTAACCTGCAGCACCACACCTATTACCATCATTAGGGGAAGGAACGGGGATCCAATCTCCGTCCCCCAGGAACAGGTTTGCAGATTTGCTGAGCATTTCTGTGAGGTCCTGGGGGAAAGGACATCCCTCGGCCTAGATAACAACGTGGGACAAAGTTGGGATGACCCTGATGAGGCTGCGCTACCTCAAATATTGAAATAAGTCACCCCCTGTGAGTGGCTGGCTGAGGTGCCATCTGTTGAGGAAGTACTAAAGGCGATCCAGAGTCTGAAACCAGGAAAGGCACCAGGCAGAGATGATCTCCCAAGCGAAATGCTGAGGGAAGGTGGCGTTTGTGCACAGACTGCCATACATGACATCATCAGAACAGTCTTGACCACTTAACGGGTTCCACAGGACTGGACGGATGCTCTGGTGGTCCCCCTCTTTAAGAAGGGGGACCGCACAGACTGTAACAACTACAGGGGCATCTCACTCCTCAGTGTGCCGGGAAAGGTCCTGTCAATGATTATTCAACATCGCCTTGCTAAGCACGCTGAGGAGAGACTTGCGGAGCCCCAATGCGGTTTCAGGAAAGGGCGGTCCTGCACGGATGCCATATTTTCTGTCCGTCTCCTACAGCAGAGGTGTCAGCAATTCCAACAAGACCTACATCTCTGCTTTATTGACTTGGTCAAGGCCTATGATACCATCAGTAGGCCTGGGCTCTGGGTTGTTCTTCGTGCTTTCGGAGTCCTTGACCCTCTGCTCACGATCATTAAGGACCTTCATGATGGTGAGCGGGCTTGGGTAAAACTACGTGGCTGGGAGTCGGAGCCATTTGCTGAACACCTTGGGGTGCGACAGGGATGTCCTTTGGCTCCCACATTATTTAACATCTATTTTGACCACGTAGTTCAGGAGGCCTTCAATAGCTGTACCGGAGGCTGATCGATGCCCGTGTGCGGTCAAGGAATTGCTCCCTATTGCGCAACCATGTTATGGATGCCGATGGTCTGGTAATCGCCTCTCACTCAGAGGAGGAGTTGGAGGCACTGCTGCTAAGCCTAGAGCTTGCCACTAAGAGGTGGGGCCTTACCATCAGCCCCACCAAAACTAAGCACTTGCCAGGGTATTTTGTACCATCGAACACTCCACCCCCACAACTCCCAATTGGTCATGGGGCAGTTGTGGAGAGAGTGGAGAGTTTCCCATATCTGGGCAGTGAGTGTGCTTATGACCGGCTCCAGTTTAACAGCAGAGGTCTCACTCCGAATCAGTCGAGTGGCATTATCTTTTCATTGGTTGCATAACGCTGTGTGGAAGCTACCTGGTCTGTTGCTCTGCACGAAGCTTCAGGTCTTCTCGGCCACAGTCATTCCCTCCCTTCTCTACGCTTGCGAAACGTGGACCCCCCTAATGGAACATCTTGGCCGGTTAGAAACATTTAGGCTGGCCTGCCTACGATCCATCCTGGGTTTAACCAGTCTGGATTGTGTGAGGAGCTCACAAATCCTTGAAAGATCTGGACAAAGTCCCATCGGTGAGCCCCTCCAGCAGGCAAGGCTGCGTTGGCAGGGCCATGTAGCCCGCACGCCTAGTCACCGCATGCCAAAACAGCTTTTGTTCGGCCGGATCGAGGGGGCTAAACGGGCACGGCACGGGCTACAGAAGACATGGAGTGATGTGGTACAGGAGGATGTGGAGCTGAGTGGACTTGCCGATGACTGGTACCAGCGTTGTCAAGATCGGCCTCTGTGGAGGAGGCTCGTGAAGGACGCTGCTACTGGGCAGTTGGAGGCAGTCGCCCGCCAACAACAATGGAGGGCGGAGGAGCGACGTGGTAGGGGGCACAGGTGGTGCATCAGCCAGTCATCTCAGTCATCTCAGTCAGTCGAACTGTGGCACCTGGGTCTGCCCCGTGACCTCCTGCCAGCGGGCGTTCAACACTTCACGTGGCCTCGGTGCACATGGCCTGGCACAAGCGTCGTGGTGATGTCACCGCCACTTCGTAGCGAATGGCGGTTGTTGTGTGTGTGCTGCTGAGCGGTGGTGTAGCGGTTAGCGCACTGCGCTACTTACCTAGCGACCAGAGTTCGATTCCCACTCAGGGCCAAAATCAGTGACGATTTTCTGAACCGGTCCTGGGCCTCCCTTAGGTCGACTCAGCCTCAAATGAGTACCTGTTGCACTGTGTGAACATCCCCTCTGGGGAGACAAAGGCGGTCGGGCGTGGTGCTGGCCACCCACCCCCTCGTGTACCGTGCCGGCCTTCAGAGGTGTTCGCTAACAGCACTTGCCCCAACAGTCTGTTAAAGCTATACGGGGGATCTTTGTGTGTGGGTGGTGACGCGATCCAGGGGTGGTGTGTCTATCGCTCATTGCACAAAGCCTCGCGATTCCCGCCCAGCGGGCCGCCCTGGATAATGCTGCAGGTGTATTAGCTAAACAATTATACATCTATAAACACATTTTTTTTACCAGGAAAGGCCCACTGAGCTACATAGCTCTTTTTCAGAAGCGACCTCGCCACAAAATGATAGCTCAACGAAGTGGCTCATCACGTGGGAATTTATAGCAGCCAAATACTCTAAACTAGCGGTCGACAACCTGCGGCTTCGGAGCCGCACGCCGCTCTTTAAGTACTGCATTGCGGCTCTTGAAATTCGAAAAAAATGTCTCTTGTTATTTTGATTGCCAACCCCTGACCATTTGAGTCCAGTTTACCATGGAAGTCCAGTCCACCATGGAAGTCCACTTGATCATGGAAGTCCAGTTTACCATGGAAGTCCAGTCCACCATGGAAGTCCACTTTATCATGGAAGTCCAGTTTACCATGGGAGTCCAGTTTACCATGGGAAACCAGTTTACCATGGGAAACCAGTTTACCAAAGGAGTCCAGTTAAAAATGAGAATCCAGTTCACCATGGAAGTTCAGTTTACCATGGGCATGAGTCGACAAGCTGCTTTTCCGGATCAGCACGCGGCTCTTTAAGGAGCTGCCGCTTCGTGGTGGTTATTTATTGAGGACCACTGGCGTCTCGCATTCACCCGCGACGCATTGCAGCGGCCCTTGAAAATATTGAGGTTTGTTTTGGAATTCGAAAAAAAAAAGAATAGCTCTTCATTTCTCATTTTGGTTGCCCGACGTTTGACGTTCGCACGCTGATGATTGCCAGTGATGTTAATCGAGGAAGAGTTCACCACACGTACGCCGCTGGTATCGCGTTATCTGTCCGACTTTTAAAAGCCGTCCAAGCCAAGGCAATTGCGGGGGGAGTGCGCCTTTTCCCGTTTTTTTACTTTTCCCTTTTTACGCAATTGAAGAATGTGCAAATTTTTTGCCGGTTTGGAATCTCAAAATCAGCCTTTGATCTCAGAGCTGCAGCCCTCAGTCGTGACAGTATTTGGGTCAAGCCCGCGAGGCGGTGGTTAAATATTTAATCTCATTCATATGTATGCGAGCGCACTATACGCAGTATATCCCGTGTGAAGATAAATTTCATGCATTTATACACGGACGAAAGTGGCTCTGTTCGCCATTTGGCGTTCTCTGGTCTGACACTTGTGAGACCAGGCTCTAAAGAAGTCTGTCTCTTGTGTAGACCAATCAGTTTCAAAGACAATGCATCATATATTATTATTATCAAAGAATGCTTTGTTTGCATGTTCACCACAAGTATTTGTGGGCGGGGTGCGGGGAGCCGTGGTGCAAAGTGAGGTGGCGGGGACGCACGACCTGGCGACCAGAGTTCACTTTGGCCTCACGGACGCCAGAGATGACTATCTGAACCGGTGCTGGGCCTAACCTAGGTCTACTCAGCCTTAAATGAGTACCCGGTGAAGTGTGGGTGTAAACATCAGCCACCGAGGGAGACAAAGGCGGCCGTGCATGCCGCTGACTGCACACCTCCCCTCTTGTGCCGTGCCGGCCTTCGTAGGTGCTCGCACGCCAGCGCTCGCCCCGACAGTCTGTTGAGGCTACACGATGGGGGGGTGTGGGAAATATTTGTCTTTGGTGCGACAGGAGATGAACGCCCCCTCGTTTCGCGTCGAGAAGATGACGGACGGGAGGATGCTGCTGCATTATTACTCTGATCGCAAGGGACTGAGCCAGATCGTGCCAGGTACGGCCGCCGCCTGGACAAGTTTCGCTCTTGTGCACCCAATACAGTTAATGAAACGTCTTGTACTCATATTGTAAATGTTGTGGCTTGGCTCTCCAACACACCGGTGTGCTGTACTCGTGACGAATTGGCACGTTCTGTTTACGTGACAACCCTCACTAGTTGGCTGCGTCGGGAGGTGGCCGGTTTAACGTCGCTTTTATATTTACGCGACACAACCCAAAAACAACCTGCTTTATGGATAATGTTCACATGTGCGTGCTTTTGGGTGGGGAGTGAGGGAGTCTGTGCTTTGGGTCTTACAAGAGATCGTTTAAGTCGGTGGTTCTTTCCTGGTTAAATTTCGATTTAAAGCTTTCGTGACTGCAATGATTCATCTTCTTTGGTTCTTTCGGTAAAGTCACGTAGAATGAGAATAAAATAATAAATTGATAAAATAAAATAACACAATAATATTCTCACAATAATATTCTCACAAAGAGAATATTATTGTGTTATTTTATTTAACACAATAATATTCTCTAACACAATAATATTTTATTTTATAAATTTATTATTTTATTCTCATTCTACGTGACTTTACCGAAAGAACCAAAGAAGATCTTTCCTGGTTCTCAATCGTTCATAAATGTAGAATGTTCATGGGTTTGGTTAGACAGAGTAAGTTGTAACTTGCCCGTGCTTCATTTGCGTTTTCGATGGTTTAACTTCTCACAAGAATCTGGCCGTGTCTCCCACCCCCCAGAAAGGGCATCTCGCACCCCCAGGGGGTGCGTGCACCCCAGGTAAAGGGCCACTGGTTGAAGAGATGATTTCGTAAGCAAGGAAACAGGGGTCGCACCGATGCTGCAGGTGTTAACGTGCCAGAGTGAGAATCTTTATGCGTGCTGGAAGAAGCCGATGAGCTATGAAGCATTTTTTTCACAGATGTCCAGTAGGTGCGGGTCAGAACGATACAACAACAAATACAACAACACGATAGGAGTGCAAGGTGTAGGAAAGGTAACACAAAATAACAAAAATAGATACAAATAAAAGTCAACTATTTTTATCTTTACCAGGCAAAGCTCACTGAGGTATTAACTTTTTTTTTCAGAAGCGACCTGGCCACAAATGATAGCTCAATGAAGTAGCTTGTCACGTTAACTTCCTCGCCTGGTATACAGGTCGTGGGTTTTCTCCGGCTCCTCTGGGTTGTCCCTCCTTAGAATCAACATCATGGCGTTTAGAGCATTTGGCTGCTGTACATTTCCACATTGTAAGCCACTTCGTTGAGCTATCATTTGTGATAGCCAGATCACTTCTGAATTTTTTTTAGCTACATAGCTCAGTGGGGCCTGGCCATGTCTCGCACCTGGTAAAAGAAAAAAAGTTTGATTGCAAAAAAAACGATTGGGGTACAAAGTATTGGAAAAGGTAAGCAAACCATTAAAAATAGATAAGTAAAAATCAACAAAGTATAGAGGTTGAAATTGCATAAGTGCACCAATTCTCAAGCTTGGTAAGATGGAAAAAAAAAGTTTAGTTTTATTTGTATATTTTAAGCGATTTCTTTACCTTTCCTATACTCTGCACTCCTGTCGTGTTTCTGTATTGTTTGTTGTTGTAACGTTCTGACCCCGTGGCCCTGCTGGACCATCGATGAACAAAGAGCTTCAGAGTTCTCACCGCGCTGCATTGGCTTCCGGTTGCTGAACAAATTCATTAGAAGGTCGCGCCCGTCACACACAAAGTGCTTGCCGCAAATGAACCACAATACCTTGCTACTGATCTCGTCAAGGAACATAAACCATCATCACGCGAACTCCGGTCATCCTCGCAGCTGCGGCTTTGGCTGACCATCGAACAAAGACGGTCACCGCATCGCGCGCTTTCAGACGCGCTTCTGCGGCCGTCTGGAACGCTTCTTCTTACAATATTAGGAAGCCACTGGAGCTATGCACTTTTAAATCATCCAGATTGACAAACTCATTTCTGTAGAACTGCTTTTTGTGTTTAGTTTGTTGTCCTTCCCCCGCACCTCCGATTAGCATGGTCGGCTACGTACGGCGCGAAAGAAATTCAACACATATACGTACATCGCCCATCGGATTTCCTCCAGCACAAGCGAATATTCTGATTCCGATTGATTCTGAACCTCTCCTCGCCGTCCGACGGCAGGCATCATCGGGGCGGTGGCGAGGGACTTCTTCTCGAGCGACATCACCATGGAGGTGGTGACGCACAGCGAGGAGGACGAGCGCACGGGCAAGAAGGAGCACGTGGTCTTCCTCGTCACCCAGAGTGCGTGGAGCACAGCCACGGTCGCTGCGGCGGCGGCAGCGGCGGCCGAGCGACAGAGCGTCGCAGAGGGCGGCCGCGGCGCGGCGAGTCCCGGCGTGCCAGCCACAACGCCACGGGGCAGTAGGAGGGAGGAGGTGCGTACCTCTACCCCCCCGCACCCCTCCACCCTCCACTCCCCCACCTTCCACTCCATCCCCCCACTCCACCCCCCCATCCCCCACTTTCCACTCCATCCCCTCCACGCCCCCCCACTCCCCTACCCTCTACTCCCCCCCACTCCACCCCCACTTTCGACTCCACCCCTGGCCAACTGCACCCCCGAGTTACGCACGCTGCACCATCTCACACGGGGTTCGATAGCCCCCATTGAATAATATTCATAATTCTTTACATATATTTTTTACCATGGAAAATTCGTGCGGCTGTTGGGATGTGTAAACAAAACTAAACTATACGCGTGTATATATTTTTTCTCATGCAAAGGGATTACAGATATTTGTGAACGTGCCGTAGCACCTACAGCCTGTTGACCCTGGTATCAGATCAGAATCTTTTTGTTGTCCTGGAGAAATCCGATGAGCTATGAAGCTCTTTTTTACGCAAATGTCCAGTCGGGGCACGGGGTCAGAAAGTTAAACGACAAACAATATATAAAAACGATATAGCAGTGCAAAGTTTAAGGGTAAGCAAATCACTACAAATAAATACAATAGACATACGATTAGCCACGCTAATGACAGGGACGACGCCTGTAGATAATTCATAATCGCGGATAATCCAAAAATATAAGCATTTTCCGCAGGTCTCGATGTTTACGTTTCTCTGCCGTCACAGTTTCGTGAATTAAAAATCACAAAATAAATTATCGGATAAATCACTCGAAATTAAGCACAGCTGATGATTTTGATTGCTTACTCTTTCGACTTAGTACACACACTAACGATAACACTTTCCTGCTCCGGCGCAGAAGACTCGGCTCACTCAGTGGACAGCAGAGCCACGCCAATCAACATCAACCAAACTCCGCCCACTGCTGTATAGATATGCAACTACTGTACTGTAGAGCGATCACAGGGATTTCGGATTAACCGGAGCAACATATTTTTTCAGTTTAAGCACGTGACTTGCAATAAACATTTCTAAGAATAACAATGTATAACTGATTTTCGATTATAAATTTTGAGCTCAAGAGAAACTCCATGAGTTAGTAAATTACGTCAAAATCTCAGCTGCGCGGTTAATCCGCAAATCGGATAAACCGCACGTGGATAATTATCGATGAGTCTAGCGTGCGTAAAATAGATAAACGTATGTACGTTCAAATCACGTAAGGTACGCCGATTCCCAAGCTTGTGCAAGTCAGGAAAACCACAGCAAGAACAGTGCCACGTGACATCCTGATCACCCCGCTTGAACCGTGAGCCAAACAACTAAAAACGATCCCCTGCTGCACAAATGAGCGTTGCCACCATTGGCTCTCATCTCAAGTTCACAGCCCTGCGGGGGGCAGCAGTGGAAATTGCGCATTGCCTTGGCGGGGCGAGGGCTTATCTGTAGGACATCCTACTGTTGGCTTTGTAATACATTAGTCCCTCGGTTAACAGTGACATCGGTTTCGACTAATGTTAAAATGTTGACTCACGGTACCTTGTTAACATGATAAGCACGCGGGTGGCAATTTTGGCCAATTCGAGCGCTTGTAAGTGAGGTTGAGCGCATGCCATCAGCCAATCAGCGATGGCCATTTATGAGCGTTTATTTTCGTGGAAAACAGCTCTCTTGCAGACTCGATTATTTTTTACTTCACTTTCAACTTGTAAGTGAATTAACAGTGATTACAATGTCCCCTGCAGTGAATTTTCAAAAGTTAAAGAGGTGTGGGAAAGTAATTAGCTTCAAAGCAAAGCAGGACATTATTGATGAGCATGAAAAAGGGGTCAAAACCAGTGCACTTATGAGTGAGTCTGGCTTATATATCACTAAATTCGATTAACGGTTATTTCAGTTCACGGTAGTTGTCGTGGAAGAGATTATAAAAAAAAACATTAACCGAGGGCCTATCGGAAAGGCCACTGGACTGTTTTGCGGACTACTTTGTTTTGAGAGGCGATGTTTGACGTACATTTTCTGAACGATGGGTGCCAACGAAAGCACGTGTCGTCGGTATTTTTTATTTTTTCATGAAAAAAAATCGCTGTTAACGCCGAACCACCCACGACCGCTCGCGCGGGGCAATCCATCTATAGACTCCCCACCCCACTCAAGAGAGTCAGTCGCAATGGAACCGCGACTGAGTGCGAACGTAGCGCAGAGAGATAGCCGCTCGGCATTACGTTGAGAGCCTGGACAGACGAACACGTGGATCAAAGGACGTATGCAGATTAAAAAACTACTAACCTAAAGTTTTTTTTATTTTACCAAGTACGGCCCACTGAGCTATATATAGATTTTTTTTCAGGAGCGGCTTGGCCACAAACGACAGCTCAACGAAGTGATGTATCACGAAGTGGAGTATCACGTGGAAATATCTAGCAGCCAAATGTCCTAAATACATGTTGATTCTAAATGTGGAGGGGAAAACCCGGAGGACATAGAGAAAAAACCCATGTGACCACCACAAATATACAGCAGACGTCAGGGTCGGGATTGAACCCACGACCTCCTGTATACCAGACGAGGTAGTTAACATCTCCTAGCCACTGTTAGAGGATGATGTCGGATGGTTAAGAATAATAGCGGAATGGCAGGCAAAGAACAGAACGTCCACCGGGGGAGGTAAAGCAACGAGCGTTGAAATCAGTTCACGCGATAGGTGCCGGGTGGATTGTTACAACGCAGGATCGTGAGAGATGGTGGCAGCTTAGGGGTGGGGGGGGAGGCTGGGAGGCAGTGGCACGCGAATCCGTCCGTCGCGGACATTTTGGAAGTAAATCCCAGGGCAAGCGACGCGGGCGCCTCTCGTAATCTGGAGGCTTGAGAGAGCGAGAACCACCGGATCGCCTCGGCACGACTCTCCTCAGGAACGTCACTCCGCAGACGAGGGTGGTGGCGCGCCACGCCCAGCGAGGAAGAACCACTGGGAGACCATCCGGAGCATCGTCACCCTGGGGAAAGGTGAGCGGCCTGGGGGATCATGGGAGTGGGGGGGGTTTGGAGCGCTGCCTGCGGGCGTCGCCGCTGTCGAGTGCGCGGGCGGTGCAACCCCCGCGCGGGCGCCCGGAGCGGGGAGTTGACGAGGAGCTCTTCTTCCTCCTTCGCCGTCTCCGCGGGCGTCGGTTCCACCGCATCGTTGTGCGTGGTGGCCTCCCCCCGCCCCTCCCCCACCTTAGCGGTGTTCATTCTGAGTCGACGCCGGGGCCAGTGGAGTCACTTCAGGGCCATCCATAGGGGCGGGGGGTACGGGGCCCGGGGTAAATACCACCGTGTGGGCACCCCCCACCCAAAGCGCGGGACCTGGGGCAGTCCCCCAGATTCACCGTAACCCTTCGAGGCGGTTCTAAGTCTCCGCGTTGGACATCCACCTCTAAGAAGTCAACTAAGGTAAAGGGGGAGCCCTAAAAATTGCTCGTTCGCGCCACTGCTGGCAGAAGGGGCCTCCACTAGAGGGAGGGTAATTTGGCCTACTCCTCCACGCGGACCCACACTTTAGCCCACCACACGCGAGCTCCTAATCGACTAGCTGTCGTGCACCCATTTATACTGCTGGTAGGACAGATTCAATTCATCGACACAGTGTTTCACCACCACACTGCAGGCCACAACAACCCACTCACCCAGACACTCACCACGCACTCACCCACCCACACACTCACCACACTGCAGGCCACAGTAACTCACTCACCCACTCACACACTCACTCGCCACCCACTCACCCACACTGCAGGCCACAGTAACTCACCCACCCACTCACACACTCACTCGCCACCCACTCACCCACACACTCACCACACTACAGGCCACAGTAACTCACTCATCCACCCACTCACCCCACTCACACACTCACTCGCCACCCACTCACCACACTGCAGTTCACCCCACTTCAATTTCTGGATCTTCCCTCGGCCCGCTCCGCTCTGGAATTCCCCGCCATCGTCCCCTTTCCCTCATAAGCCCTCGCACAGCAATCGCCTCGCTCAATTCGAGGCGCGGCGTAGCACAACGCCCGCTCGACCACGACTCCGATAACGGTGCTGTTTGTCGCTCGCCGCTTCACGCGAGCTCACCCCCTTGGCGCGCCGACACTCTGCCCCAGCGACTCCGCGAAAAGAACCAACGACGGCCGCCGGCGCTCGCCGGGGAGTCAGAGACCGAGCCTGGAGACGTGCGGACCGCTGACACCGTCGCCGGCGGGGTGTCCGGCACGCTCACCGGTCACGGCGGCGTGCCGAGCCCCCTGACTGGCACCGCGTTGCGTCTCCCCGGGTCGCCGCAGGGAGGCTGCTGAGGGGCTTCCAGGCCGTGTTCCCTGACACCCTCTGGGTGGACGAGAGGACCTTCTGCAACTCGTTCCCGTTCCACGTCGTCTTCGATGAGGAGGTGAGGCTGGAATCACATGCCGGGGGGGGGTGGGCAGAGTGGGGGGGTGGGCAGAGTGGGGGGGGGGGGCTTCGATCATTAACCGGCAGCGCCGTCGTCATCGTTAGCCATGCTCGATCCACTGCTGGATGAAGGCTTCCCCCCCCCCCCAGCTCAAGCCGCCACTGACGTCACCACCACGCATTGTGATGTAACAATCCACCCAGCACTGTGCTGATTTCATCGCTCCATCTACCCGGCCGACGTCCTCAGGAACACGCGTTCCACTCCTTGCCTGCCCCTCCTAGTCGTGACGCGACCTGCCCAAGCACACTGACTTTTCTCGATGGGTTGAACGATAAAGCTATCAATATTTTTTTATTTTACCAAGTAAGGCCCATAGAGCAATGTAGCACTTTTTCCGACGACGTGGCTTATCATCATGTGGGAAATGTATAGCAGTGGCCAAATACTCTCAACGCCGTGACGTTGACTCTAAATGTTGGGAGGGAAAAACCGGAGGGCCCGGAGAAAAATCCACGTGACCACGGTGAGAGAGAGAGAGAGACACCTCAAACTTCAAATATATTGTGCAGGCGATGTCAGGGTCGAGATCGAACCCACGACCTCCACGAGGTGGAAACCCTGCACCCCCCCCCTCCCCCGCACTGTGCACGCAGCTGCGCGTCAAGCAGGCGGGCGTGAACATCCAGAAGTTTGTGCCGGGCCTGCAGACCATGGACATCCGCCTGGACGAGTACTTCACCATCGGCCACCCGGAGGTCACGTTCACCATCGAGAGCATCCGCAAGTTCATCAACAGCCAGTTCGTGCTCAAGACCCGGCGCGAGATGCTGCCGGAAGCTCGCAGGAGCCAGCCCATGCTGGACCTCCGAGGTGAGAGGCGCCCGTCGGGAACGCTCCGACCCGCCCCGCCCCGCCGTCGCTGTTGCCTCCAGCACTCGATTTTCGATTCGGCCGCGGGCAGGGGGGGATGCTGGGGTGCCACGGTAGCTAGGAGATGTTAACTGCCTCGCCTGGCATGCAGGAAGCCGTAGGTTCGATCCCGCCCCTGACACCTGCTGTATATTTGGAGTTTGTGTGCCTCTTTCTCTCTCTCCCCATGCGGATTTTTCTCCGGGTCCCCCGGCTTTCCCCTCCATATTTAGAGACAACATCACACGTTTAGGGTTTCTGGCTACTTCTATAAATGTCCACGTGATCATGTAATTAGCCACTTCCTTGAGATATCTTTTGTGGCGAGGCCGCTTCTGAAAAATAATTATACAGCTCAGAGACCTTTATCCGGTAAAATAAAAAATAGTTTAGTTAAAAAAGTATTTGGCTGCTCCGATAAATTTCCACGAAATAAGCCACTGCGTTGAGCTGCTAGCCAGGTCACTTCTGGAAAAGAGCTATGTAGCTCAGTGTGGCCTTACCTGGTACGATAAAAAAAAAACCGCTAGCAATAGTTTAATGATGGATGTGGTGTGCCGTCGGGCCGCGCAGGTCAGATGGTGTGGATGGAGGGGTCGCGCTCGATGCTCTACCTCTGCTCGCCTCTCCTGCGCAGCCTGGAGGAGCTGGAGGAGCGTCAGCTGCACATCTCGGACATCGCGCCGCACGACGCCACGCGGGACCTCATCCTCCTCAACCAGGCACAGCGCAACCCCCCCGCCCCCACCACCCCTCCGGCAAAGCCGATCCAATCTCGGTGCGCCGATGGGAACCCACAGCGGAGGTTTGCCCGCGCATCATCTCCTGTGTACAGCCCTGGGCCAGTGGTGGAAATTCCGCCGGGCATTCACTGTTGATTTTCTCTGCAAAGTGGATACTCATTTTAGCCACCTCGGAGGGAGGGTGTGATGATGGGCTGAGTCAATACCCCCCCCAACCTGGATTTGAACTCACGACGTTCTGCATGCGAGCCGCTCGCTCTAGTACTGCACAGCCACCTGGCTGCGCTGATGATGTTTGCAGTGGGAATATTAAAACTAAACTGTTATAAACAAATTATTTACCAGGTTAAAGCCCACTGAGCTATAAAGCTCTTTTTCATAAGTGAACTGGCCACAGATAACAACTCAACGAAGTGGCTCATCACGTTGACATTTATAGCGGCCAAATACTCTACACACACGTTGATTCAAAATTTGGAGGGGAAAAACCAGAGGACACGGAGAAAAATCCACGCGACCACCATGGGGAGAGAGACACGCAAACTCCAAAAATACAAGCGTCAGGGTCGGGACCAAACCCACGACCTCCTGTATACCAGGCGAGGTAGTCAACATCGCGGCACCGTGGCACCACATTTGGTGCCCCACTCACACCGATCTAGAATCTAATAGATCCGAGTGTTTGATTCGGTGTTTGACCGCTTTTGGCCGGCAAGCCGAAGACAATGACTCTATGAAATTCACAGACTGAGACATGACAGAGCCACACATGAAGATGGAAGGAAACATGAGCAGAGTAAGGGAGAGAGAGCCAGACGGAGGTCCTCCGGTTTTTCCCTCCACATTTTGAATCAACATCATGCATTTAGAGTATTTGGTTGCTATACATCATGAATCGTAATCTCTGGCGAGGTCGCTTCTGAAAAATAAAATAAAAATAGCCTGATGATGATTGCTTGTGTTGCAGTCGAAACGTCGTGAGAATTTTATTGTTTTATATTTTATTATTTTATTGTTTCCCTTCTACGTGACTTTACCAAAAGAACCAATAATATGAATCCCTGCAGTCACGAAAGCTTTAAATAAAAAAAAATAGCCTAGTTTAGTTTTTTAGTTTAAAATGCTGACTCATTTAACACTGCTCCCCTCCCACACCCCCTTCCCTCCTCCCCTCATCCCCCCCACCCCCCACTTACCCCTAACCCCCCCGGCCATGTCCTGCGCTCCGTCAGCAACGTCTGGCCGAGATGGAGCTGTCCACTCAGTTGGAGCGCAAGAAGGAGGAGCTGAGGGTCCTCTCCAAGAACCTGCAGGTGGAGAAGAAGAAGACTGAGGCCTTGCTGTACGCCATGCTGCCCCACCACGTGGCCAACCAGCTCAAGGAGGGCAAGAAGGTGGAGGCGGGTGAGCCGCTGTGGCCTGCGCCCGATGGACGGACCGACGGACCAATGGACCAGCGGACAGACCAACGGACAGACCAACGGATGGACGGACGGAGGGACGGATGGACGGGCAGGCGGACGGACGGACGGATGGGTAAGCAATGCCAACTCGTAGCACATCTTAACTGCCACTCTGTGCCGCAGGGGAATTCAAGGTCTGCACCATCCTGTTCAGCGACGTGGTGACCTTCACCAACATCTGCGCCGTGTGCGAGCCCATCCAGATCGTGCACATGCTCAACGCCATGTACATGCGCTTCGACCGTCTCACCACCGTGCACAACGTCTACAAGGTGAGCTGCGGCGGGCGCGGTGAGCGTCTCCTGCCCTCCCGCTCTCTCGCCCGCCCAGCCGACCGTCGGTACTACGGGGGCCGATCAGGTTTGGAGTTTGTTTTGTTGCATCTCGTCCGTTCTGGGTTGTTTGTCGTGGCAAATCTGGACTGTGACGCCGGTACACGTGGCCCACCCTCATCTGATAACTTAGCAGGATTGTGCGCGTGAATCACAAGGTACACGTTTACCCGTTGATACATCCGCGGCATTGACCAGGGCGGCCAGCGGGCTGCAACCCTGCTCAGGGCTCGGCGTTGTGACCATGGACGGGGGCGGGCGGGCGGTCGGTGTGGTGGTCGCCTGTTGCTGTGCCGCAGGTGGAGACGATTGGCGACGCGTACATGGTGGTGGGCGGCGTGCCCATACCCGTGCCGTCGCACGCCGAGCGGGTCGCCAACTTCGCCCTCGGCATGGTCCTGGCCGCGCGCGAGGTCACCAACCCGGTCACCGGCAGCGCCATACAGGTCACGCGTCAACGGTTTCCATTGTGTTTTGTCGCGTCGTCGCTCGGTCGCGTGCGCGACACTTCGCGCGTCGGGAACCGGAAGCGCGCACTCGGGGAAGGCAGCCGATGGCTGGCACCAACCATCGCCCAAGCTCTGTGGTCCTACATTGGCACCCCTTGCCGACTCTGTTTAGTAAAGAGTTTTGTTTTTGCACACGTCGTGCGAGGGGGCAACGCTTAATCCCCGTACAGATGGGATAAGATGATATGATCAGCTTCGTAGTGAGCAGTGTTAATGGAATCAGCGTTTTATTTAAAGTCAGAGTCTTCGTCTAACCTGTGGAATTAAAGTCTCAGCCTGTGGATATCATCTAGTCTGATACCTGCGAGTCAAGTCGACTCAACCAGCCAGATAGTCAAAATACTCTCATTACCCTCTGCCACTCTCCCTCCAACATGATCAGTGAACCCGGTAATATTCTTATATCCTGTACATATACAACCAATACTACTGCGCTGTGAACCCGGTATACGACATTCACGGTGAATAGTAAACGCGCAGTATTCACGGCCTGCCAGAGCTGAACCGCGCACCTCCACGACAACCGACGAACGCGCCCGTCACGACCAACCATGCAGTGCACACACGCAGTGTACACCACGCATGGTTTACACACACATAGTGTACACACGCGTAATGTTGCGTACACACGTGTAGTGCACAAATGCCTTTGCACGCGAGGGGCGTGTTCACACGCGCGCACGGACGCAAACCCGTGTCCGCGCCGCTCTCCTCGCCAGATCCGCGTGGGGATCCACTCGGGGCCCGTGCTGGCCGGCGTGGTCGGGGAGAAGATGCCGCGCTACTGCCTGTTCGGCGACACGGTCAACACGGCGTCGCGCATGGAGAGCCACGGCCTGCCCGGGCGCATCCACCTGAGCCCCAGCACCCGCGAGTGAGCGGCGCCGCGCACGCCCGGGAAACAACGCACCCAGCAACACCGCTGCCACCAATCGGAATTGAAACAATTTCAGAGTACTCTACGTGTGTATGTGTGTGTGTACGTGTGTAATAGGATCGGTGGCATAGCGGTTAGCGTGCTGCGATACGAACTCGGTGACCCGTTTTGATCACCGCCCACGGCCAATACCAGTGACAATTATCTGAACCGGTCATGGGCCTCCTCTAGGTCGACTCAGCCTCAAATGAGTAACCTGGTGCGGTGTAAAAAACCACGCTGCTGAGGAGACAAAGGCGGTGCTGACCACGTGTACCTTGCTGGCCTCTGTTAAGGCTATATGGGGGATCTTTGTTTTTGTGTGTGTGTGCCATGTCCCGTCTGCTCGTGAACATTTACTCAACAACTCTGCATCGGATACTTCCTCCCAGTGGCATCCAGTCGGTTCAAATTGTTCATTGTGCAACCGAATTTGTCGTCTTTCCCCGGCTTATTGCAGTACTTCTCATATTCCTGGTCAAAATCACGTTTACGTACATACATTGAACTTATTTCGCACCATACGTAGCCAACCATGCGAAGTGGAGGCTGCGGGGGAAGGACAGAAAGCTAAATTATAATTCAGGAATGAAAATAAAAATTGGACCGTGACACCGGCACATAATTTCCTACGCTTTTTTAAATCGACGTCACGGGACGACAATGGCGTTAAACAATGACAATGTTGATGTTGACGACGATGATAATGCCCGGCCGAGTGCGACGTTGACGAGTCCCCCACCCCTCGTGCATGTGCTCCAGGGCCCTGCAGGGCAAGGAGTTCGACGTGGAGGAGCGCGGTGAGATCGAGGTGAAGGGCAAGGGGCGCATGTCCACCTACTTCCTGCTCGGCAACCGCTCGGTGGGCGAGCAGGAGATCCTGGGCCGCACGGGGCCCCTGCCCGTGGCCGACGCGGGCGGCGGCGCGGAGACGGCCACGCACGCGGGCGGTAGGTGGCTCGCTCGCTCACCCGCCACACGATCGTCAACGCGGATCGCTTGCTCACACACGCACGCTCGCACACGCACGCTCGCACACGCACACTCGCACACGCTCGCTCGCACACGCACACTCGCACACGCACGCTCGCACACGCACGCTCACACACGCCGCCCGCACACGCTCGCTCACACATGCACGCTCACACACGCCGCCCACTACGATCGTCACCGCGGACCGCTCGCTCGCACGTCATTCATATCACCGTGCAGCAAGATGTTATTTCCATCGCCTGGTATCCAGAAGATCGTGGGTTCAGGTACCGACCCTGAGGCCTGCTGTATATTTGCATGTTCTTCCTCCCCGTGGTCGCGTGGATAATTGCCCCGGGTCCTCCACATTTAGAAACACGCTGCTGTACATTGGCACACGATGATGAGCCACTTCGTTGAGCTATCATTTGTCATTGTCAGGTCACTTCTGAAAAAAAGCTACACAGCTTAGTGGGCCTTACCTGGTCAAATAAAAAAATAGTTTAGTTTTAGTCAGGGAAATATCACAGAATGGTGGGAGCGGTTAGGGGGGTTGGAGCTCTCCGTTAATACCGGCCCGCTGCGCCCGAGAGACCGGCTTGACTGCGATGCACAGAGAGCCTGAGTTCGCACCCAGGCTATCAGTGCTGTGACCTCCGAGGCCACGGGGTCACCTCCGGACGCGGTGCGCGCGTTTTTTTTTCCGTTTTTTCTTTCCTTCCGGTAGAGGGACCGGACCGGTGGAGCGTGCCCATGAAGTACTCGGACTCGGGGGACTCGACGTCGCACCTCGGAGGCGCGGCGCACTCCTCCCCTCTTCGGTCCGGCACCGGTGCGCGGTGATGCACCACAGCACCTGCGCCAGGCTAGGTGCCCTTTGAGGCTCTCGCGGGAAGTGTGGCAGGCGCGCTGCTGGCAGGAGGTCACTGGATGGGCCCGGGTGTTAGCGAGTTCACTGCCCGAGATGACTGGCATATGACCAAACAATGTCCCCAACACCAGGTACTCATTTGAGGCTGAGTCAACCTAGGGGAGGCTCAGGACCGATTCAGATAATCGTCAATGGTGTTGGCCGTGAGCGGCAATCGAACCCGAGTCGTCGTGTTCGTAGCGCAGTGCACTAACCAGTGCACTACCGCTCCCCGCTACAAAGACAAAGGTACCCCTATATACTTTAACAGGCTGTGGGGGGAAAGTGCTGTTAGCGAGCACCTACGAAGGCCGGAATGGCACACGAGGGGGTGGGTGCTGTTTGATAAACACCGTACCAGGTACTCATTTAAGGATGAGTCGACCTATGGGGGGCCCAGGGCCAGTTCAGATATTCGCCACTGCTATATTGCTCGTGAGCAGGAATCGAACTCGGATTGCCAGGTCCGTAGCAAAGCCACGCCCACGATAACCCTAACAAAATCCCGACGCACACAACACTCCCAGCTGGGACTACTTTGCAGTGCTCGAGTTTTCTCAGATCGCACCTAACACCCCTCCGTGCGTGGCGGGGTAAAGTGTGAGTACTCCCACCTGCTCCAATGCGCCTGGCCAGCGAGGAAGAGTCGGCTGAAGCCCCCCGTAGCCGGCGCTTCCTCTCGCGATTCCCCTCGTGGAGCAGTAGTGAGGGCGTGCAATTGCAGCGCTGCGACTTTACCTCCGCACCAGCTGACCCAGACTCCGTTGTCTTCGGGACTCCGGGTAAGGTTTTGAGTCTTTTACAAATTCTATTGATAAATAACCAAAACAAATAAGCAGACTGTATGTCCCCTTTCTATATTTGTCTCTTCGTATGAACAAAACATTTTTTACGCGTCCCATCCACCACACGACCCTTGGGAGTGGAATTTTTTTGGACTGCTTTTAGACCCTCGGTGTCTCAGAGCCAGGCTTGTTGACAGCACATGTATATTTCCAGTGCAGAGAGGAGGCATATTGTCTGATTAATTCGTTAAGTTACTTATATTCTCTACAGTGACACAAGTGGCGATGTCGTGCTGGTAATGAGCGCTTGGCTGTTGGGAATCCTTGCCCTGAACGGAAAGCACTTTTCAAACCCCAAGTAGAAACCTTTTGCAAGGGATCAATTCTGCATTAACCACACGTACATGCAAACAAACATGCTCTGATAATATAATGGCATTGTCTATGAAACTGATTGGCCTACACGAGAGACAGCCTTCTTGATGGCCTTGTCTCACCAGCGGTGTTGGACCAGAGAAGGCCAAAAAAGGACAAAACACTACAAAGACAATGCAAGTATTAGAACAGCTCGGGTCGAGCAGTAATAACTATGGGACCTTTCATTCAGTCAGTGGTGCCCTGCTGATACCGCCGATGGCCGTGTGACACAGGAACGCCGGCGCGGAGCGGCCAAAGCCGTGCGAGTCTCCACACCGAGCCCTTGGCGGACGGGCCGGACGGGTCAGATGGGCCCAGAGTGACCTCGAAGCCCCACAAAGGCCCCGTGGAGGCGGCGACGAGGATGAACGGCTCCACCTCCCCTGTCGACCGCCACTCGCGCCTCTGCTTGCTCCTCTGATATCCAGCGTGGCCTCCTCCGTCCGCTGAATTGCTCATCATCGTCGTCGTCGTCGTCCTCATCGTCGTCCTTATCGTCGTCACGAGCGAGCGACGTCAGCATCGTCGATGCACGAAGCCACTTTAGTCCACGGGCCAAGTAGAGGCCTGGGCCGCACGTTGTTCTTGTTGTTGTTGATTAGGTGGTTGAGCTGGTTGTGGTGGTTGAGGAGGTTGAAGTGGTTGGGGCACCAGCACCATCGGTTTCTTTCCCTTTGACCAAGCCAGCTGGAAAGCAGCCCGATCTCGTCACATCTCAAAAGCTAAGCCGGGTTCGAGCCTGGACACTGCTTGGATGGGTGACTACCAGAGGCGGCGTGAGGTGGGAGGTCGCGAGTGGGTTCCCCGTGGTGATTGTCCGGAGATTACCGAGAGCATCTGCGAAGTTCACCCCCCCCGCCCCCCCCCCCCCTTATCCCACCGCCGCCCCTACTTGCTCACGGATGAGTGGAGTTCCACTCTGGTGACGTTCAACCCGCGCAGCTACTGCTGACTCGCTCCCGGAGCTGACGGTCGGTGCGCCACTCTGTGTGTTTAGCAGCGTTTCGTCAACTGGTGAAGGGAAGGAAGGGCAGGCCCCCACGAGCGGCCTGCCGCCACGGGCAGAACCTCGCGGGCGGCAAAAGGGCAGTGCAACAAACCATGCCGTTGCATCGTACCCCTGATCTCCCGCGTGTGTGCTATCCCCCTGTGCCGACCCGCACTGACCTGCGTGTCGAAGTGCGGTAAAATATTGCCACAGCACGAACAGGCATGGGTAGGCCCTCGTCTAGCAGCGGATTGCCAAAAGGGCCAATAACCAGACTTGCACTCACGCCGATCATAAATGCAACGACGTGCGTCCCACGTCGGATACGTTGTACATCACTGACCTGTACTGGACCCTGTGTGTGTACATTGGATGACTGGATGGATAGAGGTGGAGTGGACATCATAAATGTTTGGGTTTGGGTGGCAAAACCCAAGTCCTTGCACTGGCCTGCATGCGTGCACACTCGGTAGCTACTACATCACCGAGTGTGGCGATTGGTATCTGCGTATAACATGTCTCGTTAGGCTGTGTAGAACATGTGCTGTGTGGTAGCAAACCACAGCTGTGTAAATAACCTCTCTGCAGCTACTGCGCTTCGTCTTAGCAACATATCATGCAGACGGTCACCGCCGTCTGATATTAAACTGCGATCCTCACGCGTGATTATAAACTAATGCGAATGCTCGCTGCATATATATGTAAAACAAATAAAGCTTGTTTCTGTTTCTCTAATTGTGTGATCAGAGTCATGTGAGGAGACGCATACATTTCCCATTGGTTAACGCGGCAGGGAGGAGTGCATCACCTTGTGTGTGCGAGAGCAGCCCCAGCAGATGACATCACCGGGCTACTTTTGAAGTGCCTTCAATCATCGTCATCATCATCATTGGCCATTGTCTATCCGCTGCTGGATGAAGGCCTCCCCACGCCGTGGCCACCACTCAGTCAGAGGCGGATCGGGAACTTCTCCCAAGGGGTCGCGGTCCAAAAATGTTAATCCAGTAGGGCTGTACATTAACAGTTAAAAAGACACTCAATGTATGCGTATGGTCAATACAATATCCCGACCGATTTACGTCTCCCGCTTTGACGTCGTTTCGCTAACACATCGTCACTTGACTAATGACCACTACCCGATTTGCGTGGGCCTCAACCCCACGCTTACGTCCTCTCTCGTTATCCGTCGCCTCTCGGCCTCCTCCACCACCACCACCACCACCACCCACCGCTACCCTGTAAACCGCTTTGATTTACATAGTTTTGATATTCGTCGTCGCACCTTTCATGAACGCATCCCCGACATAAACCGGAGTATGACTATCAATAAAACACCCATGTTTGGGGTGTAAAGGAGGCGGGGGGGGGGGTGATCTCCCTCATTACCCCCCCCCCCCCCCCCCACTGGATCTGCCACTGCTCACAATATATATTTTTATCATTACACACTTTTACTGGTAGGAACCTCCTGGTTACACCAGCCCGGAGGGGATTATTGTGTCCGTCCGTCGTGCATCCAAAAATGGGAGGGGTGGGACTGGGTGGAGAGGGGAGGGTGGGGAGGGGCTGGGTGGGGAGGGTGGGGAGGGGCTGGGTGGGGAGGGTGGGGCTGAGTGGGGGGTGGGAGGGGTGGGGCTGGGTGGGGGGTGGGAGGGGTAGGGCAGGGTGGGGAGGGGCTGGTCACCCCGTGGTGCCCTTATAAAACTCAACGTTTAACTTACTCACGCCGGCTTGTCCCCGCCCTCACAGTCGGGCATATTTGCAGAATACAGCACGCCGCCGTTGACCCTGCCCATTGACCGACGTTCCTACCAACTCCCTCCACAGGAATGTGTTGTTTAACTCACTCTGTATGTTGTCGTATCTTCAAATCTTGTAACTCAATCTTAACCCACCTCCCAATGTCGTATCGACTGCAAACTTGGTATACGTGTGTTATACTGATGACAATACTATGTTCTATTATTAAAAATAAAACTCTATATTTTTAAACAATCTTTTTTTATGTGCTATGTTTCGGATTGGGTCTAATTGTCCACGTTCAACTGACGTTGGTTGTAAATCACCACAGTCCCTTACGTTATGGCAAGCTTCGGGGCCACTTCCTGGAGTCGTGGAGTTCTGCCGTTACTCGTACGGTACATTTCATTAAAGCGTGTTTTAAAAAAAAGTATTTTAAATCTAACTCACAATCTATTTTTATTTTACCAGGTAAGGCCCACTGAGCTGCTATGTCGCTGTCTTTCCAGAAGCGACCTCCTGGCTATCGCAAATGAGAAGTCAACTAAGTGGCTTATCATCGCATGGAAATGTACAGCAGCCAAATATTGGGTCGAGGCTCAAAAGAAAGCCGTCCCTTGGTGTGGACCAGTGAGTTTCAAGGACAATGCATATTCTAGATTTGAAGCTTTCGTGACTGCAAGGATCCATACTCTTTGGTTCTATTCGGTAAAGTCACGTAAAAGTATAAAACAACAAAAAATAAAAATAAAAAAATCACGACGTTTCGGCCACAACACAAGCGGCCTTCATCAGGTGAAGGGACCAGACTGTCTCGAGGACAGCGCTGGAGTGAACACAGCCAAGCTCGGACCACGACCTTTAAGCTTGTGTGAGAGGAATTAAGGTGCCTTGACAAAGGAATTAGCATAAAAAATTGCATTTAATTGGCGGACTTAGCATGATGGACGGTGTAGAGGGGGTGAACATGTGCAGACCGGCGAGGGGGGGAGGGGGAGTTTACATATTGATGGTGTGAAAAGGGAATTTAAGCAGCTGCGAAAGTTTGGGATACCACTACTTTAAAAAATATACTGTACCATTGAAAATTTGTTTAATGTTTGGTTCGATTTAGAACATCTTTCCAATGGTTGCTTAATTTGAAACCATCTTCTCGGTTGAAATTGTGTTTGTAAATCTGAATTGCCTCGTGAACAAATCTCTGATAACAACCCGTGGGTTTGCAAAGAACCTTGGTATCGGAGAAAATTATATCGTGATCACCCACAGCGTTGTAACAGTGATCAGCTATGGCAGAATAATTCGTTCTGCCGTGTTTCAAATCTGATTTGTGCTCGCGAATTCGGTCAGAGACATGTCGTTTCGTCTCCCCGATATAGCAGTCACCACAGGTGCAGATCAATCTGTAAACTCCGGGGTACTGTAAGTCAGGAATGAAATCCTTCACGGAAGGGATCAGGTCACGGATTTTGTGTACTGTATTGAACCGGACCAGGATCTTGTGTTTGTTTAGAATTTTGAAGATCTTTTTAGTAACGCCTGCTATATATGGCAGTGTGATGGTTTTAATCGGAGTATCAAGTGGTTGTTTCTGTATGGAGGGAGAAACAGCTTGGCAGATGGGACGGTCAGAGTATCCATTCCTTTTGAGGGCCAGATGCACATGTTTTAATTCACTGGTCAGGTGGTGTTGGTCCGAAATGCAATGAGCCCTGTGTTATAACGTTTTAATGAGAGAATTATTTTGCGTCGGGTGGTGGTGGGAATCAGGTTTTCTAGTAGGAATCTGTGTGGGTGGGTTTCCTGTAGACAGAATGTCCCAATGAGCCATCAGATCTCCTCTCAAACAGAACATCCAAGAATGGCAGCTTCCCATCTTTTTCCACTTCCATGGTGATTTTGATGGCGGGGTGTCTGGAATTAATGTGGTCTAGGAAAAGGTTCAAAGCCGGGAGGCCATGTGGCCAAATGACGAAAGTGTCGTCTACATATCTCTTCCACAGGGAAGGTCTGAGGGTGGAAGTCTGGATGGCGTCTGATTCAAATTTCTCCATGAAAATATTGGCTATCACTGGTGACAAGGGGGATCCCATGGGGGTACCCTCATTTTGTTTGTAGAAGGAGCCATTCCAAGTAAAGTAGTTATTGTTGAGGCAGTGCCTAACCAGTGCAGGTGTATCGGGGTCTAGTCCATGTTGGACCAAATTTTCAATTATTTCAATGGTATCAGGTACTGGGACCTTGGTGAACAAAGAAAACACATCGAAGCTGACAAGGATATCGTCAGGGGACAGTACAACGTCTTTGACCATACAGACCAATTGGGCTGAGTTAAGTACTGCTGAGGCGGTCTTGCCAGTGAAAGGCAGCAAGGTATCTGACAGAAAACGGGCTAGTCTATAGGTAGGGGAGTTGATCGTGGATACGATGGGTCGTAGTGGGGTGCCTTCTTTATGAATCTTGGGAAGACCATAGAATCTAGGGGGTCTTGCAGCAGAAGGTTTTAGGGAGGGACGTTTAGTTGGGTCGATTAGGGAGGTCGAACTTGTGATGATCTTGTTGGTTTTCATCGCTAGGCTATTAGTAGGGTAATTTTTAATTTTTGAGTAACTTCCATCGTTGAGCAGATTCTGGATTTTGTTGTTGTATGAATCTTTATCCATAATTACAGTAGCGTTGCCTTTATCGGCTGAGAGGATGACTATGTCATGTCTGTTTTTTAAATTCGCGAGTTCAGAGCGTTCATTTTTGCTGATGTTGCTAATGGGTTTCCTAGCATATGTTATCATAGTATGTTTTTTGTTTGCATTTTGACTGCAGGTATTGTGGTTAAGGTAGACATGAATCCTTGTAAAAAGGTTTCAGTTTTGTTGCCAGAAAAAAGGGGAAAACCCCTATTATTACATTTTGGTACTGGCAAAGGAGGTATAATGATGATGATATAATATAGCAGCCAAATAGTCTAAATGCCGTGATGTTGATTTTTGATGGGGAGGGGAAAACCGGAGGACCCGGAGAAAAATCCATGCGACCACGGGGAGAGAGAGAGACACCGCAAAATTCACATATCCAGCAGGCGCCAGGGTCGTGATCGAACCCACGACGTCCTGCATACCAAGCGTGGGAGTTAACATCTCGCAACCGTGGTGGCCGATCGCTGCTCCCACCCATCTCGCTCCTGCACACATCTTAATGCTCCGTCTCAATGATCCATCTCATTGCTCCGTCTCAATGCTCCGTCTCATTGCTCCATCTCAATGCTCTGTCTCATTGCTCCATCTCATTGCTTCATCTCATTGCTCCATCTCATTGCTCCATCTCATTGCTCCATCTCATTGCTTCATCTCATTGCACCATCTTATTGCTCCATCTCAATGATCCATCTCATTGCTCCATCTCAATGCTCCATTTCAATGCTCCATCTCATTGCTCCATCTCAATGATCCATCTCATTGCTCCATCTCAATGATCCATCTCATTGCTCCATTTCAATGCTCCATCTCATTGCTCCATTACAATGCTCCATCTCATTGCTCCATCTCATTGCTCCATCTCAATGATCCATCTCATTGCTCCATCTCATTGCTCCATCTCAATGCTCCATCTCATTTCTCCATCTCAATTCTCTATCTCATTGCTCCATCTCCGTGGTGGTCGCTTTCTTGGATGCGCCCTCCGTCTTTATCGGCCTCTTCATCCGCGCGAGGACTGCGGCATTAACGTGCCCTACAAATCGAAGAGTTAATCGTGAATAAATATATTTTTACATAAACTTTTATGAATCTAGGATATGTCATCAGGAAGTTGATATGGCAAATTTTACGATGTGTTTGTGTGTGTGTGTGGAGTCATTGGTGAATGGGACGAGACCAACATCTTGCATACGCTTGATCCTGGTTTAAAATCACAGGTGGCGGACGGTACCTGGATTCAAACCCAGACTCTCGGTCAGTGCGTCGATGATCTTCCACATTAACGACACGTGCGTCTCGAGCGATGGAAACCAGCAAAGAAGGCACGAGTGTGCCTACCGTCCCTGCTTGGAGACGAGAAGTCCCCAGGTTCTGTTCTCTGTGTTATACTCGGGGTATTTTTAGTTTTTTTTGTCGTAATGTAAATTGCCTGAGCCGACTTTCGATAAGGAGCACAAATTCGTCCGGTGACCTGTTCCACATCAGAGGTTTTCCATGCAGACATTTGATTGGCAATCCCGTGAGAGCTCATTGAGATTTAACCATGCGCGCTGGAAGGGAAAGATAAATAATGCACACAACCTGGGGAGGTGCAGGGATTCACCTTCTTGCACGGCCTCATTATTAATTTGAATTGCATTTAAATGTAAACTTCGTTCAAACCAGAGCTATCTCAAGCGTCTTGTTTTGATATAGCGTCACCATACCCCCCCTCTCCCACCCCCCTCCTCCAATCCAGACCCTCATTTTTCCTGCACGGTATCCATGCCGCAGCCTGCGTCGTTACCGCCTGGCTCAATTTTCCCAGGGAGGGTGGAAAAAAATCGCGTTTCGCGTCGGCGCCTCTGAGCCGCCGTACCCCGCCTCCCCCCCTAAGACTGCTATTCCGCGTGTCATGGCGGCGCCCGTGGGGTCCACGTGCGCGTTGGCGCTCACGGAAAGCGTCCTGGGCGCTTTCGCCTTCTCCGCTGGTGCCGCTCCGGGAGGACGCGAGGCCAAGTGGCTGCTGCCAGAGGCGTTGGCGCTCGCCAGAGACCACGGCCTCTTCGCTAGCGCGGAGGTACGCGGTGGGGGGTGGGGGGAGAGACCCTGGCCCAAGACACCGACACCGATTGACGCAGCGGCCGGGCCGGGAATGAGGGCGGGCGACTGGGACCAGTCGGTCACGCTGCTCCGGTGCCGCGACCGTGTGCCTAGAGGAAAGATGTGACCCGTGTCACACCGAGTGAAGGACGGAGAGAGGAGGCGATGTATCTGAGAATGCAGATCCGTGTGTTCCCAGATCCACGTGGCGCGTGTCACAGTGTGATGAAATCGTCATAAATTAGCTGTATGAGGCGTCCTTAGACAACGGATCTTGGAGAGAGCACCGTGCATGTAAAGGTCGAAAGGGGTAAAGTGAGAAGCAAGCGAGGAGATAAATATTAAAGAGGCCGAAAGAGAGAGCGAGAGAGACAGAGGCCTAATTAAACACGTTGCTGTGGTCTTCAACCGGGACTTAAGGGTTTGCAGCGGCTACGAATTCCCAACCTTTCCACGGTGCCGGGTGATCAGAGAGTCATCACGACCTGCACAGGCCGCGTGCGTGGTAGTTCCTCATCCAGCAGTGGGTTGGGGGGGGGGGGGTGGCGGGTACGTGGAAATCCACCTTTTTGTGGTTTTCCCGCCTCGTCTGAGTGTTTATTTTACCCTAAACCGTCACTGCATTTACACTGCTCCCCCGCCCCGTCGCTCTGGAGATGCCACAAGCAGAGCGGCATGTTTCCACGCTTCGCCGATCGAAGCAATTCCCGAGCAAATGATATCTGCTCTCGCCCGACGCCGCGTGAGACCTCGGATAGCACTTTTTAATTTATCTGCTGTGTTTTTCTTGGGCCGTACCGCGTTGTTGTCTCCCGGCATCGTGTCGAGACCGATTCAGTTCGTGAAGGGGCTCCCGGTATGTGGAGCGAAACGTCGGACATCGTGCCGAACGACACGGGTTTTGCAACCTTGAACAACGGCGAGAATCTTAAGCAGTAGTAAAACGTTTTGGAACAGCCCATATGACATACATGTCAACCCACACGGTTTACCCGTATTCTTGTACAGGGAAATTAATCTTTCAGGTTCATACGGCGTATAGCCGTTTCAATGCGGGCCAAACAATTGTTGTCTGTTTCTCCCTTGTGATGGGACTTTGTAGGGTGAATGTTGGGATTTATAAGGGCATGGGGTGACCAATAAGGTCTGAATTGGTCTGTAACAAGGTAGGCACTGATAAGGGGTTGACAGGTATGATATGCAGCCACCTGTAATTCCTTCCCTGGTAGGATTCTCTTTAAAAAAAAAATGCTGTGATCTGCGTGTAACGAATGCGTAACTGGGCTGTCGATGAATTGACATATTTGCTCTGTGTCGCCATACAGGGCGACGCATCTGTGAACCGCTGGATCAGCCACTGCAACTTGTGTTTGAACTCTTTGAAGACGAGGTGAGGGCGCGTGCTGTCACGTGAAACTTGGCATCAAATGCGATGGCCAAGTACACGGGGGTGTGTGGAGCACACTGGCTCTGTGGTTAGCGCACTTACGCTGTGAACCCCACACCTCCGGTCATCTCCGTATTGATTCCTGGCCACAGCGAACATTGGTGGCGATACTCTTTGGTTCTATTCGGTAAAGTCACATAGGTAAAAAAATAAAACAACAAAAATCACGACTCATCTTCTTTGGTTCTTTCGGTAAAGTCACGTAGAATGAGAATAAAATAATAAATTGATAAAATAAAATAACAATAATATTCTCACGACGTTTCGGCCACAACACAAGCGGCCTTCATCAGGTGAAGGGACGAGAATGATGAAGGCCGCTTGTGTTGTGGCCGAAACGTCGTGAGAATATTATTGTGTTATTTTATTTTATCAATTTATTATTTTATTCTCATTCTACGTGACTTTACTGAAAGAACCAAAGAAGATGAATCATTGCAGTCACGAAAGCTTTAAATCGAAAAATCACGACGTTTCGGCCACAACACAAGCGGCCTTCATCAGGGACCAGGGTCCAAAGAGTATGGATCCTTGCAGTCACGAAAGCTTCAAATCTAGCATTGGTGGCGAGTTGCATCTGAACTAATTCTGGGCACTCTCATCCCCTTTCGAACCCGCACTTAGGGGCAGTCCATAAATTACGTCACGCACCTGGGGGGGGGGTCAGATATTTGTGACGAGGGGGGGGGGGTTTGAGAAATGTGACGTCATATGAAAATTCGCAACTTAAATAAATATAGACAACACGTTCTACTTAATTAAATAGACTTTTTAATAAATGTTTTCTCCTGCAACATCAGAGTGCAGCGCCACATTAAATACGCACTACTAAAGCGATTTGAAGCATGTTTTATTTTCAAAATGGAAATATGGTTTTGGGGGGGGGAAAGAGATTTGTGACGTCATATTTGAGGGGGGGGTCTGCCTTTTTGTGACGCCGTGTAACGAGGGGGGGGGGGTAAAAAATCGTCCAAAATCGCGTGACGTCATTTATGGACGGCTCCTTACCGGCATGGTGAAGTATGGTTGAACAACCCTGTGACTGACACGGCATGGGGGAGTCCATCCAGAAGTGGGTTTACTAAGGGCTGCCGTACAAGTCCCCACACTGTTAACGGTTATGATATGACAAGTTACGATGCTGCCGATAACAGCTTGTGTGAACAAAACAATACGGAATGTTTATTCAGTAAAAAAACAATTTAAATCTCAATCCCGTTAATATATCTGCATTTGGTCAATTGATGTTCAGTTCATTTTCACAATGCCGTGCAATTAGTGAGTTGAAAGGTTGCACGCTATGGGAACTGTTGTATTGGCTGTGTATTAGTAGGGGTGCCACTCAATGTTTGTATGTGAAAGTGACGTACAGTTTTCTGGGATCTCACCCTCCTCTCCGTTTCATTCGCATGGTTGGCTGTGTACGGTGCGAAAGAAGTTTAACATACTTACAGCAGACTCGATTATTCGTACTAATGATGGGGAGGATAGCCGTAGATTAAAAATCTCGGATAATCCAAAAATGTCACCATTTTCCACAGATCTATATGCCAGAAACTACTAATATAGATATAAATTATGTTTAACATTGAGAACGAAAACTAACGATCGACCGTCCGATCGATGCGCGTGCTTAGTGATGACACTTTCCTGCTCCTGCACAGCAGACTCGGCCAACTATAAGTGGACAACAAAGCCACATCAATCAACATCAACCAATCTCCACACACTGTTTTGAAGATTTGCAACTACTGTACTGTAGAGGTGATCATGTGGATTTAGGATTAACCGGAGCAACATATTTGTTCGGTTTAAGCACGTAACTTGTAATACATATTTCCAAGAATAACAATGTATAACTGTTTTTAGATGATTAATTTGGGCTTCATGGAAAATCCACTAGTTATTAATGTACGTAAAAATCTCAGGTGCGTGGTTAATCCAAAAATCGATAAACCGCATTAGAGTAATTACTTTTGGCGTAAAATTCAACAGCTGATAACACATTTACAGGCTGCTCAGGGTCCCGTATTCTACTCTGCGTCTATTCCTCTATACTATGGCTCTGTGTGTATTGACTGCAGTGCATTTATTAACTCGGGCGAGCACCCGGTAACGATCGATGGATCGTCTCTAAACTCGCAGTGCTTCAGTTTAACAGGCGCATGAATGAAACCAGGAGGCCGTGGCCTTGCAATGAACGCAGGTGACGTTCGATTGGTGCCCGACTGCAGAGCTACTACATTGCCGTGCCGCGTAACACATCCCCGGCAGTTGAACGCATAGTGGTAGGAGGCTTTCGCGACCAATATAATCCACGGTGGAGGTTTTCGGGTTCGATCGAGTAAATGTATAAATGTGTCGTTAAACCTGCCACCACCGGACATAGCCAATTAGTAAGGTTGTGTCAACGTAAACAAAACGCGCCAATTAGTGACTCGTGCAGCGCACCGTTAGGCGGCAGCCAGAGTTGGGAAGAAGTCCTCTTCCTGCTTCGGTGTTATCCCTACCGGTAGAGAACTAAACCGTCGACTGCGCGGCTCGTGACGTATCCGCGTAGCTAACAACGAGTCCGTATCGCTTTCGGCGCCTTTTCACGTTTGCACTTCAGTGCGATTTAAAAAAAAAAAATCTACAATTTTTAGGCATCATACAAAAATATCCCGGTATGCGCGGGACACGGGGATGTCGTCGTCTTCCGTGTTTTTTTTGAGGATGTGATGTCTCTCAAAGTCACCGTAATAATGGGGGCGGCTGTGGCTGCAGGTGGGATGGCCTGTCCCTGCTGGCCGCGCTGGTGCGCGACTGCTCCACGCAGGTGTTCGTGCAGCACTGCTGCGCCTGGCTCCGCGCCGTCACGCAGCTGCTGCAGGTACCAATGTCCCTCGTCACGTGGGTTTGATGTTGAGATGTTAACCACCTCGCCTGGTGTACAGGAGGTCGTCGGTTCGATCCCGACCCTGACGATGCCTGCTGCTGTATATTTGTGTGTGGCTGGTAGATCTTAACCACCTCGCCTGGTGTACAGGAGGTCGTCGCTTCGATCCCGACCCTGACGATGCCTGCTGCTGTATATTTGTGTGTGGCTGGTTGATGTTAACCACCTCGCCTGGTGTACAGGAGGTCGTCGGTTCGATCCCGACCCTGACGATGCCTGCTGCTGTATATTTGGAGTTTGCATGTCCCTTTCCCCATGGTCGCATGGATTTTTCTCCAGGTCCTCCGGTTTTTGCCTCCACATATAGAATCGACGTGCTTTTAGAGTATTTAGCTGCTATAAATTTCCACTTAATAAGCCACTTCATTAAGCTATCATTTGTGGCCAGGTCGCTTCTGAAAAAGAGCTACAAAGCTCATTGAGGTTTACCTGGTCAAATAAAAAAAATTTAGTTTAAAAAAATATAGTGTTTAGTTTCACTGTGTTTTGAGATTCACCAGTGCGTTGGGGCCTGGCGGATGGAGTGCCGAACGCGCACTGCCTTCTCTTCTGTGGGCGTTTGTGTGAGCATGGGGCCTCTTTTTAGGCCAAATCTCTGTGAAATTAGTCTCTGCTGTGGTATGTTCAAGACTTAAAACATGTACGCAATGTCTACAAGGGAGGCTTTTTAATACTTTTCAACGCAGGTTAAAAGCGTTTATGCATCAGGTCTGTTCGTCCATCCGTACCGGGGCGTGAAATACTCGTGAAGATGATCCAATACTCGTGAAGATGATCCAATACTCGTGAAGATTGTCCAATACTCGTGAAGATGATCCAATACTCGTGAAGATTGTCCAATACTCGTGAAGATGATCCAATACTCGTGAAGATGATCCAATACTCGTGAAGATGATCCAATACTCGTGAAGATCCAATACTCGTGAAGATGATCCAATACTCGTGAAGATGATCCAATACTCGTGAAGATGATCCAATACTCGTGCAGATGATCCAATACTCGTGAAGATGATCCAATACTCGTGAAGATGATCCAATACTCGTGAAGATGATCCAATACTCGCGAAACTACGCTAAAGTTGCATCACTCTCAGTCTTACCCGATTGCAGACTGGCCAAATTGATTCAGGGCTTTCTCCAAAGCTTGGAGAGATGAATACAAATTGCAATATGCATTCTGCTCCCACGGCCAACCAAGCCGTAGCTTCCGTGCCGCTAATTCGCTGCGTTGTAGCGCATTGAGTAAGCGGCTGCGCGCGTGCGTGGTTTGTCTCCGTTCGTTCCGCCTGTTGTGCTGCCAGCCCTATGAGCCAGAGGGCGGATTGGCGCTGGCCGTCAGAGTCCTGGCCGACCTGCTGCGATTCTCCGCGCAACTCCCCGAGCTGGCGCGGGAGGTGTCGCAGTCTCACCTGCCGGCGCTCATGTCGGCACTGCTGGCGCTGCGGGACCAGGTGAGACGGGCTTGGTGGGGCGGGGGGGGGTGTGTGCACTGTAGGTCCACTCAGCATACAATTACCAGCTGGTGCGGTGTGTCAAAACAAAGGCGGCCGGGCGTGGCACTGCCCACCGGACCCCGCTTGCTCGCCGTGCCGCCATACGGGGGGGGGGAGGGGGAATCTTTGTCTTTGCGCATCTCATTGGGGCGCGTTGGGAGCCCCGTGCCACGCACGGCCCACCGGCCGCACCTTACCTGGACGCTCTGCAAAGGTTAGGAGCGCGAGCTAATTTTTTTGGTCTCGTCATGTCGTGTCGTAGCGGGAGTGCATGGCGATGGAGGGGCTGCTGGCCTGCATGAGATTCTACCCGAAGACAAGTGGCACTACCAAGGTGAGGTGGCACCCAGCCGCTTCCCGGTGTGCTTCTACTGCATTGGATTGCCATTGCAGTCTTGCCCCAGTGGCTGGATAATAAACCGCGGGTCACAAAGGCTCGCCGCGCTAGTCATTACCGTTGTCGACGTACATGTTGGCAGCGCCCCACAGTGTACAACGCTATCTTGAAATACAAAGCCAGGCACTGTCTTCTCTCGCTTCACTCTGGTCTGAAGTAGGGACTGTGCCCAAAATGTCACCCTTATACGCGTTTGGTTATTCGGCTCTATCAACGAATAATTTTCCAACTTTTCATTCTTATATTCGTGCTTGTCCGCCACTGCCAAAATAGACCCTCGGCTGTATGTGCATATGTACGCATGTATATCGAACTTCTTTCGCACCGCACGTAGCCATACGTGCTAAGCGGAGGTGCGTGGCCATTGCGTTGTACAGACCGTCTGTCCGTTGCCGTCGCCAGGTGAAGCTGGAGCTGCTGTTCGTTCCCAGACTGACGGCGACGAGGCCGACAGTGAGAGAGGTGAGCCTTTCCCACTGCCCGATTCACGGTGGCACCGCGGTGGCGAGATGTTAACTTCCTCGCCTGGTATGCAGGAGGTCGTGGGTTAAATCCTGACCCTCACGCCTGTCTATTTGGAGTTTGCGTGCCTCTCTCTCTCTCTCTCCGCTTGGTCACGTGGGTTTTTCTCTGGGTCCTCCGGTTTTTCCCTCCACATTTCGAATCAACATCACGCGTTTGCAGTATTTGGCTGCTATACATTTCCACGTGATGATAAGCCATTTCGTTGAGCTATCATTAGCCAGGTCATTTCTGAAAAACAGCTATGTAGCTCAGTGGGCCTTACCTGGACAGTGGGCGGGGCTACCTGGGCAGTGGGCGGGGCTACCTGGGCAGTGGGCGGAGCCAATGTTATAAAGAGCGAGAAGGGGGAGGCGGAAGACATGTCACTCGCTGTGTGAAGTTCACAACGGCCGAGCGGCCGCTGCTGCGTGCCAGCGGGCGGGGGACGACGGAGGGAGCGGAGGGAGGCGCTGCCGGGTCCCCCCCCCCCCTCCAGCACGACGGGGCGCACTGCTCCGATAAACACGGCGGAAAAATAATTAGTTTCAAAATAGATTCCTTCACAACACCGGGCTTCGGTCGATAATTAATATCCCCACCCCCGCCATGCGTGTGCACAGCTGGCGCTCGGCGGCTTCGTGCTGCTGCCGTCGCTGGGGGGAGGGGGCCCCACGGGGGGGCAGAAGCACGCGGAGGCGTGGACGCAGCAGCTGCACGACGTGCTGCGCTCGCTGCACGCGGCGCTCACACGCCTCTACGACTCCGGTACCACCCCCACCCCCATCCTTCGCAACACCGTCGCCATCCTCGACTCCGCTTTCCCCGCCTCCACTCCACCCTCACCACCACCAACACCCCCACCTCTGTCTCGCGATGTCATCGGCGCCTTGAGAATCCAAACAGCCCCCGCCGAGCGATGCGTCCGACCTTGCCTTGACCTTGCCGTCACCTCGCCTTGACCTCGACGTGACCTCGCCTTGACCTCCCCTTGACCTCGCCGTCACCTCGGCAGCTCGAGCGGGTTGTGAGCCCGGTACGTTCCCTGGGCAGGAGACTGTCCAGGGAACCACGGCCCGCTGCCGGAAAAGCTTGCCTGGTGTCGGCAAAGCGTAGCGGGTCCCGGAGGACGATGTCTCTGCTGCCGCAGGAGCGGACGAGGCGCAGGACTGGGGTCCTGGGGTCCAACTGGCACTCCCGGAGCCACAGGCCGACAGCCCCGTGTACCTGCTGCAGGTGAAGCAGGAGTTCTCCTGCCTTGCCCGGGCCCTGGTTGCCATGTTGCGGTACGCTCGCTCTGCGTGTGTTTCGTGCGTGCGCGCTGCGTTCACGTGTCCAGCGTGCGTGTGTCTGTGTGTGCGCGCGCACGCGTGTGTTGAGAGTTGTGTGTGTTGAGAATAGGGGGCACGGCTGTTGAATCTGCCAGTCATCTCAGTCGGCCAGCCCGCACCTCCGATTAGCACGGTCGGCTACGTACGCTGCAAAATAAGTTCGTCATACATACATTCAACCCATGGCACCTGGGTCTGTCCAGTGACCTGTCGGCGAGCCATCGACACTTCACGTGGCCTCAAAATGTACCTGGCCCGGCACAGGCCCCGTGGTGACGTCACAGCCACTGAGTGGCGAGTGGTGGTTGTTGTTGTTCAGAATTGTGGGGAGCGGTGGCACGGCAGTTAGCGCACTGCGAGAAGAAACCAGCGTCCCAAGTTCGATTCCCGCTCACGGCCAGCACCAATGACGATTCGAGGCACTCCTTGACGTACGCGATAGATGCGTTCCCTAAAAAAATCCCGCGATCGAAAAATTGCGTTCCGTCAAGCAATTTTCCCATAAGAAATAATGGTAAAGGGAATCTCACTCACACTCGCAGACATAATCGCCTATATTATCCTCGCCTAGATCAGTACAATACATCCATAATACATGTACACGCAATATAATACTTTCAATTAAAAAGCAAATCGCGTAAATTCTAATATACTTCCTATGAAATAAAAATAAATAGAGCATCACTCACCTGTAACTACGCCGGAGTTGCGTAGTGGAGAGAGGATGGATGGAGACGGTGTTCACGTGGCGGGATGCTGTATGGCATAGCACTGGCTGCTGGCAACGCCATTGGGTCACGGTGCCAGGCTAGGGTCGCGCATAGAGGCCGACCGAAAGTTAAAAATGTAATTTCGGCCGAAACCGAAAGTTGAACTTCACTTTCGACCGAGACCGAAACAGAAAGGTATGTAACCGAAGTTACCGAACACAAGAATCATGAAATATGTCACTTTTTGCAATGCTACTTCAATTAAAAATAAATCTAGAACTAATCATTCAGAGCCTGCAGTAAGAGTCGCTAAATATGAAATCTTTAGGTGTTACTTACTTAGTAACTTTATCCAAACAAACGAATGTTGTAGTTAAGAAAAAAGTTTTTACACATTCAGCCAGACAGGCTGTTAACCGGTTGTATATACATTAGCAGCCTGCATGGTTGCGGCTGTAACCTTGCTCCAAAGCTGCTGCTGCTGACGTGTGTGTTTGTGTGTATGTGTGTGTGTTTATGTGTGTGTGTGTTTGCAGCCGATCGCAAAGGATTGTCTAGCGCCGACTGACCGGCCGATAGGCAGAGTGATAGACATAGCACTAGTGTTATATTCTAAAATAGATCTTCGGTTGACGAATGACGACCAAAAGTCAATATCAGTTTCGGCCGAAACCGAAACCAGACTAAAAGTAAAAAATTTACTTTTGGCCGAAACCGAAACAATGCCGAAAGAGGCCATTTGCCAACTTTCGGCGCCGAAACCGAAACCGAATTTCGGCCGGCCTCTAGTGGCTTACGTCGCTTTGCGGACGACGTTATTCCGAAAATGGCCCCGCGTGTCTCGATAAAAGGTCTCGGTACAAAGCGTTCGTTATTCCAAAATGGCGTACCGCAAAAGTGCGTCAACTGAAGATCACCTGTATCTGAACCGGTTGTGGGCCTCCCCAAGATATCCTCAGCCATGAATGAGTACATGGTGCGGTGTGTAAACGTCGCCACTAGGGAGACGAAGGCGGCCGGGAGTGGTACTGGCCACCCCCACCCCCTCTTTGTGTGCCGTGCCGGCCTTCATAGGTGCTCGCTGAGTAGCACCTTGCCCCAAGGCTATACGGGAGATCTTTGTCTTTGTAAACAAATTCTGCCGCCACTGCTGCACCCTCACCCTGTCGACTGCACCCTCACCCTGTCCACTGCACCCTCACCCTGTCCACTGCACCCTCACCCTGTCCACTGCACCCTCACCCTGTCCACTGCACCCTCACCCTGTCCACTGCACCCTCACCACATCCACTCTCCGCTTCACAGGGAGGAGTTTGCGGCGCCGGTGAAGGTGCCGGCGCAGCCAATCCTCACCCTCGTTTGCCGAGCGCTGGCCATCTCGCCCAAGCGCCTGGTACGCTGCCGGACGGCACGTGGTGTTAACCGATTCGTACCGCGAGGGGGAGGAAGCGCGTGGTGGAATAGGGGTCGCGATCGGACGCCGACTCCCGAGGGATGCCGTTATGAGCAGTACGGCCGAATCCGAAGGGCGACTTACAATATATATGTGTGTGTGTGCCGCGTGAGTGTGTGTCGTTGTGTGTGCCGTGTGTGTGTGCCACTTGTGTATGTGCCGTGTGTGTGTGTGCCACGTGTGTGTGCCGCGTGTGTGTGCCACTTGTGTATGTGCCGTGTGTGTGTGCCGTTTGTCTACATGCCGCGTGTGTGTGTGCCACGTGTGTGTGTTTGCCGTGTGTGTGCCGTGTATAGTTGTTTACCGCTTGTGTGCGTGCCACGTGTGTGTGCGTGCCGCGTGTGTGTGTGTGCCGTGTGTGTGCCGCTTGTGTACGTGTGCCGTGTGTGTGTTTTCCGTGTGTGTGTGCGTGCCGTTTGTCTACATGCCGTGTGTGTGTTTGCCGTGTGTGTGTGCCGTGTGTGTGTGCTGTGTGTGTGTGCCGTGTGTGTGTACCGTGTGTGTGTGCGTGCCGTTTGTCTACATGCCGCGTGTGTGTTTGCCGTGTGTGTGTGTGCGTGCCGTTTGTCTACATGCCGCATGTGTGTGTGTGCCACGTGTGTGTGTGTGTGCCACGTGTGTGTGTGTGCGTGCCACGTGTGTTGGTGCTCGCGGAGGATGATGACAGCTCAGTTGGGATCGCACAGCAACCATCACCCCCTTCTGCGAAAAAGCAGTACCCTCCGGAAATCGAGTCATGAGACTCGATGAGGCTTGGCTGGGAAAACAAGCCGAGCAAAAATAACAAAAAATAGCTGCAAGCACGGTGACCCGAGTTCGATTCCCGCTCGCGCCCAACACCGGTGACGATTATCTGAACCGGTCCTGGGCCTCCCACAGGTCGACTCAGCCTCAAATGAGCACCTGGTGCGGTGTGTAGTACACATCCGCAGTGGTGCTGGCCACCAGCCCCTCCTCGCGCGCCTTGCCGGCCTATCGCAAGGCCTTATTGCTAACAGCACTTGCCCAAGCAGTTTGTGATGGCTGTTATGCGGTGGTTCTCTGCCTTTGTCTTTTTTTCAGGCCGCGGTGGGGGAAGCCACTATGCAGCTGCTGGTGCTGCCCGCGGTCCACACGGATGCCCTCTCGCTGCTCGAAGCCCTCATTCGCACGTCAGAATAACACCCGGATCGCGAACGCTAAACGCGCGCCTCACAGCGCCCGCCGCTTAAAGCTCGGGGCACGCCGGGCGGAACGTCGCCCGCGCATTGGCGTTGAACTCGGTCGCGAGACGTCTCGAGCCACCGGTCAGGAGGAGGAGTGCACGAGCCGTGTCGGTCGGGATGCGATCGTCTCGTCTAATCGAGACGGGGTTGCGTACGTGTGAATGTTGAACTTCTTCCGCGCCGTACGTAGCCGACCGTGCCAACCGGCGCGCTGTACGGGCGCATGTCGCCCGACCGTGCGCGCCGAGTGAGCAAACGAGCGGCCTCCCCGCGGACTTGTGGGCCGAGCGACGCTGTGGGCTCGCGGCACGGGGCGGGGGGTGCGTTGGAGGGGGAGCGCGGCTGGCAGGGCTCGCTGCTGGGAGGGAGAGAGGGAGCGGTTGCGTGAGGTCTCCATGGACCCGGCGCGGCGAGGCGCGAGGAGGATTACGCCGAGGCTGCCACGCGCTTGTTTACCGTGGGGGGACCCTGGTGGGATGGGGGGGAGGGAACCGGCGGGGCCTTGCCGACCGTGCTGACTTTGATTTCCCAGGACGCCTGAAATTTCCGCGAGTGGCTCTCTCCGTGGGGCCGGGAAATGCAATTAGAGACGAACAAATATTAATTTATTTTTGTTTGCCGCTCCTTTGCTTTGTGCGCTGCGATCGTGAACGTTGAACGGCCTCGGCGCGATGGGCGGCAGCGCGAGAGTTTGGCCGTTGACGGCCGTGCAGCGAAGTGTGACGCACGTGTGAACCGGGCCTCACCTAGGTGGACTCGGCCTCAAATCAGTACCTGGTGCGGTGTGTAAAGATCACCACTGGGGAGACAAAGGCGGTGGGGGTGTGGTGCTGGCCACCCACCACGTCGTGTGCCATGCCGGCCTTCGTAGGTGCTCGCTAACAGCACTTCCCCCAGCAGTCTGTGAAGGCTACACGGGGGGTCTTTGTGCGTGCGTGCGGCCAGGTGCGGCAAGCGGCTGCTGCGGTTCGGCGACGTCATCAACCGGGCCTTCCCGCAGGTGCTCGCCACATGGAGCCCGCCGGCGGAGACGGGGGGTGACCCCGGGCGGGAGAGCCCCTACAGGTGAGACAGCCCCCACAGGTGGGACAGCCCCTACAGGTGGGACAGCCCCTACAGATGGGACTGCCCGTACAGGTGGGACAGCCCCTACAGGTGGGACAGCCCCCACAGGTGGGACAGCCCGTACAGGTGGGACAGCCCCTACAGGTGGGACAGCCCCCACAGGTGGGACAGCCCCTACAGGTGGGACAGCCCCTACAGGTGAGACAGCCCCTACAGATGGGACAACCCCTACAGGTGGGACAGCCCGTACAGGTGGGGCAGCCCCTACAGGTGGGACAGCCCCTACAGGTGGGACAGCCCCTACAGGTGGGACAGCCAGTACAGGTGGGACAGCCCCTACAGGTGGGACAGCCCGTACAGGTGGGACAGCCTCTACAGGTGGGAGAGCCGTGCGCACCTGTCGTTTTACCCGCCCGCTAATTAGCGGCACGGCAGTGCCGATCGTCATGTTGGCGACGGACGACGCCGGTAATTGGCGCTCCGGGAGCCGAGCGCTGCCGTGCGGCAGCCGCCCGGCGCTCGGCACGGTGGCGATCTCCGCCGTGGTAATTGTTTTACGCTTTTCCCAACAGAGGTTCGGGGTGTGAACGCACGAGCTCCGGGGCCGCCCGTAAACACGCGGTCACGATAACTCTCGCGGAGACGATGCGGCGGTGTGGCAGCTGGACACGTTCGTCAACAACACCGTGGCCTTGAAGGGGGAAAATAAATCAATAATAGGGGACGTTTGGGGCAATGGCCATTCTTCATAGCACACAATAAGATAGGCCAGATGTTCAATACCTCGCCTGGTATAGAGGTCATGGGTGCTGTATAATTGGAGTCTGCATGTCACTCTTCCCGTGGGTGCGTGGATTTTGCTCCGGGTCCTCCCGTTTTCCCCTCCACATTTAGAATGATGCATTTAAAAAATTTTGGCTGCTATAAATTTCCACACGCTAAGCCACTTCGTTGAGCTGTCATTTGTGGCCAGGTTGCTTATGAAAAAGAGCTTTACAGCTCAGTGGGGCCTTAACGGGTAAAAAAAAAAATAGTACATAGTTTATAGCAAATAAGGGTGTGGATACGACTACACTTGGCACCTTGAGGCCTGATGTCTTTGTGAAGTTGATAGCCACTTGAAAATGGCATTGTTGCGAGGTTTATTGAAACCCGGCATTTTGCGCGACCCTGCGGCACCCGCCCTGCTCCTCCGCGTCTGCGTCTCTGGATCTCGAGCTGTGCCGTCAACCCCCCCCCCCTCCCCACCCAGCGAGGTGCGCGTGCGTGCGTACGGCGCGCTGGCCGCGTGGGTGGACGTGTGCGGCGCCACGTGCCGCGTGCTGCAGGACGAGCTGCAGCACGCGCACGACCTCCTCCGCCACCTCGTCCGGGACGCCTCCCCCGCCAGCGACCTCATCCGGGTGAGGCCTCTGTCGCCCGCTGAATCGCCCAAGTCCTGTCCGGTTGCGACGGCGATGACGACGATGACGACAACCATGTGTTTTTTTTTTTTTTCGCATCTTGCTTCGTCTTCGTGCGAACTGCAAAAACGCTGCGGGATTTGTAACAATTTGTAACGGGCGGTTTTCGGCGCACGGAGGCGCGGGGGAAACGCGGACGGACAAGTGGGAGGGAAGATAGGCGGCCAGAATCGGCGCTCCCAGCAATTTCCCGAGCTCTGTGGTCCTAGATTGGAATGTTGCTGAAGGGAGGTTGGGCTTGGCATCAGCGGACTCGTCCCTCTCCAGTTAATCATTGCCAGCACTGCCAATTGACAATCTTCGTCCTCATTCACCACCACCACCACCACACTCCCCCTCCCACCCCATTCCTCACCGAGTCTCACTTGGATATCTGGTGAGCTTTGTTGGGTCAGTGTTTGCCATGTCAAGGAGCATGAACCATCACACGAACTCCGGTCATCTTTGTCGCGGCTTTTGGCTGGTCATCGAACAAAGACGGTCACCGCATCGCGCGCTTTCAGATGCGGTTCTGCGGCCGTCTGGAACGCTCCTGCTTACAATATTAGGAAGCCACCGGAGCTATGCATTTTTAAATTATCTGGATTGAAAACGAATTTCTTTAGAACTGCTGTTTGTGTTTCATTTGTTCTTCCCCCGCACTTCCGATTAGCACGGTTGGCTACGTACGGTGCAAAAGAAGCTCAACACACACGCACACACACACGCGCGACGGTGTAAAAACCCCAGCGCCTGGAGAACGGCCACCGCGCGTGTGAGGGGGGAATGCTCGACGCCGCTCCCTCGTGTTTCCCCACCGCTCGCAGCTCCAGGTGGGGCGGCCGCGTGGTGACCTCCAGCTGGGGAGTCGCGCCGGCAAGCGGCACAAGGGCGGTGCGCCCGTCACCGGCGCCACCGGCACGGCCGGGCCCAGGAAGAGCGACGCGCGGGCCGGGGCCGACGTGTGCCTCGCGGCGCTGCACGGTGAGCGAGCGGCGCGCGGTCGATTTGAGCGCCGTCTCGAGGGCCGTTTGGCGAGCCCGCTTGCTTGAAGGTTTTTGGAGCAGGACGCCGACGCACAGCAGCGGCGGCGGCAGGGTTCGACTATCCCTCGAAGGGTGTCACGGGATCAGCGTAGCGCTTCGGCGTTAATCGGGGGGGCGCCGCGCTCCCCCCCCCACTCCCCTGCCTCGTTTTGGACCGCGGGCGTCTGTAAGGAGCGGCAAGCTGCCTCGTGTCAGACAGCTCAGTGCCGTGGGGACGGGGTGTGTGGGGGGGGTGGTGGGGGGGGGTAACGCGTCATTCACATCACATGGCTCGTCCCCCGGTCACTGGAGTGTTCGCCGCCTGGTTACACGTGATCACGGTGGTGAGATGTTAACTACCTCGCCTGGTCTACAGGAGGTCGTGGGTTCGATCCCGACCCTGACGCCTGCTGTATGTTTGGAGTTTGCGGCGTCTCTCTCCCCGCGATCTCGTGGATTCTTTTGCGTCCTCCCGGTTTTTCCCTCCACATTTAGAAACGTTTCTGGTATTTAGCTGTCATAGATTTCCACGTGATGATAACCCACTTCTTTGGGCTATCATTTGTGGCCAGGTCGCTTCTGGAAAAGAGCTCCGATAGCTCAGTGGGCCTTACCTGGTAAAATAAAAAAAAAGAGTTTAGATCGGCTTCGATGGAGACGAGTTTGCCGGACAGAGCCTGAAACGTGACTGACGTTGCCACCTGCTGGTTCGTATCGCAACGGTCGGCCTGGAGTGGCACGGCCACGGAGTGGGCGCACCAAGTTCGCGGCGTGCACAGACGCGTCGACGTCACGCGCGTACGCCTCTTTCGTCCAATCCGCTGCTGGATGAGGGCCTCCGCACGCCCGCCGCCCTGGCCGCGGAGAGTTATTCGGACCGTGCCTCGGCAGGCTGGTCAGTGCCGGGTTTGGTGAAAGCAATGGCGGAAGGAGGGGGGCATAGAAGTAGAGTACAGTACAGCAATTGATTTTGCAGCACTGACAACTGCTGGCCAACAAAATTCTGGAGTTGTCAGGTTTCGAGTTAACGACGTCCGTGTCACCCAGACGACGGGAATACAGGAACTCCTCTACTTACGACCGAGTTAGGTTCCCGAGTACAGCTGTACTCCTGTCGATTGCAAACACGTTGTACGGCGTGTACACTTAACACGGGGAATGGCTTTAAAAGTCGTATAATCTCCTGTAGATGTCGATTGTCACCGGTTCTTCACGTTCTGCAGATGTAGATGCCACCGCCGCCATCTATTGCGCGGCGGTTGAACTTACGACTCTCGGTCCGAACAGGCAACTGGACATACGGGACAGGTTTGTTCGTATCTCTGAAAGTTCGTAAGTCGAATGTTCATAAATAGAGGGGTCCCTGTATTTATGTTTTTCGGGTGACACGAAGACGCATAACAGGCAGAGCCGCCGTGAGAAGGGGGCTAACCGTCTCCCATCCCAGGGACGATATGGGCACACACATCTCCTGCAACCCAAACTACGGACCGTGCAGTAAAACCCACCGTGGGCCCGCAAGACCACACGAGTTCGATTCCGGCTCGCAGCCACCTCCTGTATCTGATCCGGTCCAGAGCCTTCCCCCTAGGTCAACTCGGCCTTAAACGAGTACCCGGTGCGGTGTGTAAACATCGGCACTTGGGAGACAAATGTGGCCCGGGCGTGCGATGTCGACCACCACCCCCCCTCCCCCGCCCCCTTTGTGTGACGTGTCCATAGGCGCTCGCTGACGGTACTTGTCCCCCACCACGACAGCTCGTCCGAGGCTATCCGGGTGACCTTTGTCTTTGTGTGCGTGTGTGTTGCAGCGCTGGTGCGGGTGGTGCTGCGTTGTGGGAGCTTGATGCCCGCCAAGGTGCACAAGGTGCGGTGGTGGTGGGGGGTGCCGCACTCTGACGTGGCTGGCGGGGCCCAAGCAGCTCCTCTCGTTTATAATTTGTCGTTGTTCTCTCATTTGTTGCTGTGATTGGTTGTTCTCGCTTGTTCTGATTTGTTCTGCGTTGTTGCTCTCATTTGTTTTCATTTGTTGGTCTCATTTTTTGTTGTGATTTATCGTCTTGAATTGTTGTTGTTGTCCTGATTTGTTGGTGTTCTGATTTGTTGTTGTTCTGATGTGTTGTTGTTCTGATTTTTTCTTGTGATTTTTATGTTCCGATTTATTATTTGTTGGTGTTCCGATTTGTCGTTCTGATTTGTTGTTCAGATTTGTTGTTGTCGATATAATAACACGTCTGCCGGGAGCAAGGCCAAAGGGCCAAAGCGTCAAGCGGCCATCAAATCGACCGGCACCGTAGTCAAAGTTGTAACGGACGAGAGTGTGGCGGTGTTTCTCGAGTCGGGTGATTGTGCCTCTTAAGAGCTTGGGGGGGCGGGGGTGGTGGTGGTGGGGAAGAGACGACAATTGGGAGACTGAATTCCAAAGTGGAGCGGTGCGATGGTAGAAGCGGAAAGAGAAGCAAGGTGGTGACCTGCAGTGTGGTGGTGTTTGACCACAGTGTGGTGGATGATTGAGTGAGTAGGTGGGTGAGCGAGTGGGCGAGTGTGTGCTGGTTGCTGCCGGGCGAGATGAACCGGCCGGTGTCTGTTAGAACTGAGGAGAAGTTGACGGGGAAACGCGAATCGACACTGACCCATCGAGAGCGACTGCAGAAACTCGCCCCTAACGCGCTCCCCACCCCCCCCCCACCCCGCGTGCCCCCCACGCAGCGCCTGCACGAGCTGGCGGTGAGCTCGGCGCTGGCGCTGCAGGCGGGCGGCGCCCCGCCGCGCCCCCTCGGCGCGTGCCCCGCGTGCCGCGTGGAGCTCTACCGCCTGCTGCTGCACCTGCTGCTGGCGCCCTCGCCGGCGCTGCCTCCGCCGCTGCAGCCGGCGCTGCGCATCCTGGCCCGGGGCCAGCGCGACGACAGCGCCCAGGTTCGCCGCCGCCGCGTCCACGCGCCTCCGGATGTTCGCGCGCGACGGTGTGGGAGGGACGGGGGGGGTGTCTACTAATTCGTTTGCCGCTTGCGCGGAGCCGTGGCGTCCCGTGCTCGTTGTGTTCATTGCGTCCGCGTGACGCCGGAGAGCGACACGCCGGCTGGACCCGCGCCTGGGCACCACGGCACCGTGAGGGTCGCGCGAACACGAAGCGCGCTGCTTCATCGTCGTCGTGGCGAGATGTTAACTACCTCGCCTGCTACACCGGAGGTCGTGGGTTCGATCCCGACCCTGTGACGCCTGCTGCTGTATGTTTGGAGTTTGCGGCGTCTCTCTCCCCCGCGAATCTCGTGGATCCTTTTGCGTCCTCCCGGTTTTTCCCTCCGCATGTAGAATCGACGTCACGCGCTCAGAGTATTTGGCTGCTGCCGTGCACTTCCCACGTGATAAGCCACTTGGTAAAGCTATCATTTGTGATAGGTCGCTTCTGACAAAGAGCTACGTAGCTCAGGGGGACTTGCGTAATAGTATTCGCCGTTGTTGTGTTTGTCGCGACGCAGGTGTCCGCGTTTTGCGCCGACGCCCTCGTCGTCGCGAGCGCCATCGTCCACCCGCGGGTCCCCTCCCTGCAGCTTCCCGCAGCCGCGCCCGCAGCCGCCCCTCCGCTCGGGGACCCCCCCGCGGCCGCCCGGGAGTTCTCGTGGCCCGGAAGAGACCCCGACGCCGAGGCGCGCGACGTCCGTACCGACGATCGCTCCCCGCTGGACCTGTCGCGCAACGACGCGCCGGGAGATTGGGCCCGGCCGGCCGTCCCGCGCGGCTCTTCCGGCGGCGGCTCCGGCGGGACGGCGTCCGCGGACGGGAGCGGCGGCGCCGAAGGTCCGGACGATTCCGCGACGATCGCGGACGGCGTCGCGGCGCCGTTGCGGGTGACGGCCGAGAAGCCGCGCCGAGCGGAGGACGACGGAGAACGCCGGGAGAGGGCGGCGGCCTCCTCTCTGCGGTCCAGTGGAGGGACGCAGGAGGTGGACGACGTGGAGGAGGATGGACGAGTTGACGGCGGCAACGACGGCAGAGCATCCAAGCGCAAGCGGGGGAGAGACGAACGCGAGGCTGTGGCTGCGAGCGACGAGGTGAGCTCGGCGTGCGTCGCCGCGTGTTCACGACGCGGGGTCCGTTGGCGAGCGTTCTCGGAAACCTAACGAACGCCCCCACCACCACCCCCCCCCCCCCCCCCCCCGCGTGTCGGCTTTGACGGTGGGTTGCACCGGCGCGCGTGCCCCCGGGAGCTTTTCTCAGATCCCGGAGGAAGCTCCCGGCTGCGTGCAGCTGAAACGTCGGACGTCTTGCTGAACGACGTGAGCGGTACGACCCCGAGAGCGCTGTTTCGACCTCCCCCCTCTGCGCCCGCTCGCTGTCGTTTTCCCAGAAGAACGACGGCGGCTGCGGCGGCGGCGGCGGCAACGATCGTGATGGCGACGACGACACGATGAGGACCATGCTCGCCGACTTTGTGGACTGCCCCCCAGAGGGCGAGGGGAGCTGCCGCCACCGCGAGGTCGTCGCCGCTGGCGAGTTACTCGCCCGGCCGTAGCGCCAGCGCCCACCAGCTCCTGGAGGCGCTGCGTGGGGCACGCTGGGGGGTCGGGGGGGGGGGGCGGGGCGGTGGGGGCGCACGCGAGACGCGAGTTGTAAATTGTAACTTCTTTCGCACCGTCTGTAGCCAACCGTGTGAATCGGCGGTGCGAGTTCTCCGGTTGCTTTCGATGGTTCAGTGTTGATTGGCGTTCCCGTGAACTCGCCGATCCGTCTGCCCACGTTGAGGACTCGGTTTTACCAGACACCTTTCCCGTCTCGACCGGCAGCAGTGCTACCGGAGGACAAGCGACCGCGTGCTCGCACACAAACGCACGCGAAGATCGCCTGTAGCAGGCTGTTGGGGCAAGTGCTGTTGGCGAGCAGCGCCCGTGGGTGGGTGGGCCCGCACCGCCTCCCGCCGTTTTTGACTCCCTAGCGGAGATGTTTTCCACGCCGCAGCAGGTGCTCATTTGAGGAGGCCCGGGCCTTGTTCAGATATTTGTCGCCGTCGCTGACGGCGAGCGAGAACGGAACCCGGCTCGCTGAGTGTGAGACGACACGAGTGTGAGACGAGTGTGAGACGACACGAGTGTGACACGAGTGTGAGACGAGTGTGAGACGACACGAGTGTGAGACGAGTGTGAGATGACACGAGTGTGACACGAGTGTGGGCGACACGAGTGTGAGACGACACGAGTGTGAGACGAGTGTGAGACGAGTGTGAGACGACACGAGTGTGAGACGAGTGTGAGACGACACGAGTGTGAGACGAGTGTGAGACGAGTGTGAGACGACACGAGTGTGAGACGAGTGTGAGATGACACGAGTGTGACACGAGTGTGGGCGACACGAGTGTGAGACGACACGAGTGTGAGACGAGTGTGAGACGAGTGTGAGACGACACGAGTGTGAGACGAGTGTGAGACGACACGAGTGTGACACGAGTGTGAGACGAGTGTGAGACGACACGAGTGTGAGACGAGTGTGAGATGACACGAGTGTGACACGAGTGTGAGGCGACACGAGTGTGAGACGACACGAGTGTGAGACGAGTGTGAGACGAGTGTGAGACGACACGAGTGTGAGACGAGTGTGAGATGACACGAGTGTGACACGAGTGTGAGACGAGTGTGAGACGACACGAGTGTGAGACGAGTGTGAGACGAGTGTGAGACGACACGAGTGTGACACGAGTGTGAGACGAGTGTGAGACGACACGAGTGTGAGACGAGTGTGAGATGACACGAGTGTGACACGAGTGTGAGGCGACACGAGTGTGAGACGACACGAGTGTGAGACGAGTGTGAGACGAGTGTGAGACGACACGAGTGTGAGACGAGTGTGAGATGACAAGAGTGTGACACGAGTGTGAGGCGACACGAGTGTGAGACGACACGAGTGTGAGACGAGTGTGAGACGAGTGTGAGACGACACGAGTGTGAGACGAGTGTGAGATGACACGAGTGTGACACGAGTGTGAGGCGACACGAGTGTGAGACGAGTGTGAGACGAGTGTGAGACGACACGAGTGTGAGACGACACGAGTGTGAGACGACACGAGTGTGAGACGACACGAGTGTGAGACGACACGAGTGTGAGACGACACGAGTGTGAGACGACACGAGTGTGAGACGACACGAGTGTGAGACGACACGAGTGTGAGACGAGTGAGACAACACGAGTGTGAGACGACACGAGTGTGAGACGACACGAGTGTGAGACGAGTGTGAGACGAGTGTGAGACGAGTGTGAGACGACACGAGTGTGAGACGACACGAGTGTGAGACGACACGAGTGTGACACGAGTGTGAGACGAGTGTGAGACGACACGAGTGTGAGACGAGTGTGAGGCGACACGAGTGTGAGACAACACGAGTGTGAGACGACACGAGTGTGAGACGACACGAGTGTGAGGCGAGTGTGAGGCGAGTGTGAGGCGACACGAGTGTGAGACGACACGAGTGTGAGACGACACGAGTGTGACACGAGTGTGAGACGAGTGTGAGACGACACGAGTGTGAGACGACACGAGTGTGACACGAGTGTGAGACGAGTGTGAGGCGAGTGTGAGGCGACACGAGTGTGAGACGACACGAGTGTGACACGAGTGTGAGACGAGTGTGAGGCGACACGAGTGTGAGACAACACGAGTGTGAGACGACACGAGTGTGAGGCGAGTGTGAGGCGACACGAGTGTGAGACGACACGAGTGTGAGACGAGTGTGACACGAGTGTGAGACGACACGAGTGTGAGACGAGTGTGAGACGACACGAGTGTGAGACAACACGAGTGTGAGACGACACGAGTGTGACACGAGTGTGAGGCGACACGAGTGTGAGACAACACGAGTGTGAGACGAGTGTGAGACGACACGAGTGTGAGACAACACGAGTGTGAGACGACACGAGTGTGACACGAGTGTGAGGCGACACGAGTGTGAGACAACACGAGTGTGACACGAGTGTGAGGCGACACGAGTGTGAGACAACACGAGTGTGAGACGAGTGTGAGACGACACGAGTGTGAGACGAGTGTGAGATGACACGAGTGTGAGGCGACACGAGTGTGAGACGACACGAGTGTGAGACGACACGAGTGTGAGACGACACGAGTGTGAGACGACACGAGTGTGACACGAGTGTGAGACGAGTGTGAGACGACACGAGTGTGAGACGAGTGTGAGGCGACACGAGTGTGAGACAACACGAGTGTGAGACAACACGAGTGTGAGACGAGTGTGAGACGAGTGTGAGGCGAGTGTGAGGCGAGTGTGAGGCGACACGAGTGTGAGACGACACGAGTGCGACACGAGTGTGACACGAGTGTGAGACGAGTGTGAGACGACACGAGTGTGAGACGACACGAGTGTGACACGAGTGTGAGACGAGTGTGAGGCGAGTGTGAGGCGACACGAGTGTGAGACGACACGAGTGTGACACGAGTGTGAGACGAGTGTGAGGCGACACGAGTGTGAGACGACACGAGTGTGAGGCGACACGAGTGTGAGACGACACGAGTGTGAGACGACACGAGTGTGACACGAGTGTGAGGCGACACGAGTGTGAGACAACACGAGTGTGAGACAACACGAGTGTGAGACGACACGAGTGTGACACGAGTGTTAGGCGACACGAGTGTGAGACAACACGAGTGTGAGACGAGTGTGAGACGACACGAGTGTGAGACAACACGAGTGTGAGACGACACGAGTGTGACACGAGTGTGAGGCGACACGAGTGTGAGACAACACGAGTGTGACACGAGTGTGAGGCGACACGAGTGTGAGACAACACGAGTGTGAGACGAGTGTGAGACGACACGAGTGTGCGGCGGTGCGCTCTCTCGGTCGAGAGCGCCGCTGTGCCGGGGCCGCGACGTCCACGGAGCCTCCCCGGCGCCGGGTGACGCACAGCGTGCTCCCCCCCCCCCCCCCCCCACAGCGTGCTCCACCCCCCCACAGCGTGTTCCACCCCCCCCCCCCCACAGCGTGCTCCACCCCCCCCCCTCACAGCGTGCTCCACCCCCTCCCCCCCCAGCGTGCTCCACCCCCCCCCCCCTCACAGCGTGCTCCACCCCCCCCCCCCCACAGCGTGCTCCACCCCCCCCCATCGTGTCTGCTCGTTAAGCAACAGCCCTTGCCCATCGCGCCCCGCAACTTTTCTTTTTAATAAACAAACGCGCCAAGTGAATCCCGTGCCGAGTTTTATTTTCGTTAATCTCGAGGCAGCAACCCCGTTGCCTCTCCACAGCGGCGAGTCAGCGGTGGAAACTCCACATTCCCGTGGAAGGATACGTGCACCCCTCGGGACCAGCACAGGTGAATGCCCCCCCAAGAAAGTGGCGCTGACTTTATCGACCCTGCAATGAAAACGGTCCCAAGTCGGACCCTGGGCCCCGGACCCGCCGAGAGATTGCTACAGGTTGCCAGCGAGATGAATCGTAGACAATATAAAGACGTGATCTAGGAAGCCACATGGGCTCTATGCACTTCTAAATCGTCTAGACTTTTTAAACTTATTTCTTCAGATCTACTTTTTGTTGATTAGTTTGCTGTCATTCCCCCTGCACCTCTGATTAGAGCAGTTGGCTACTTCAGGGTGCGAAAGAAGCTGAACACATACGAGAGATGGGAGCTGAGCAAGATGAGAGATGAGAACGGTTATTGTCATGCGAGTGAGATCAACCGGGCGATGGATCATGTGGCAGTTACGAACCTGGCCACCCCAGTTCAATTCCCGCTGACGGCCAACACCACCAGTCCTGGGCCTCTGCTAGGTCGACTCGGCCTCAAATGACTACCTGGTGCGATGTGCCACGACGTTGTAACACGGGAGACTTCGCCAGACACTGCGACGCTCGTCACCACTTTATTTCATCGTTTACATCCCGGCCCGGTTTCGACAGCTCCCCTCCCGTGCCGGCTGTGTCCCCCTCGACAGATTTGGGGAAGCCGATCTCGATATGGGTCATGGGGGGATGGTGATGATGGTGGTGATGGCAGTTGTGATGGGGGGTGATGATGATGGGGGTGGTGATGGGGGTAGTGGTGGTGATCATGGGGCTGTGGTGGTGATGGAGGTTAGTGGTGATGGTGGTGGTGATGATGATGGGACTGTGGTGGTGATGGAGGTTAGTGGTGATGGTGGCGGTGGTGGTGATGGAGGTTAGTGGTGATGGTGGCGGTGATGGTGATGATGGGGGTAGTGGTGATGATGGGGGTAGTGGTGATGATGATGGGGGTAGTGGTGATGATGATGGGGGTAGTGGTGATGATGGGGATAGTGGTGATGATGGGGGTAGTGGTGATGATGATGATGGGGGTAGTGGTGATGATGATGGGGGTAGTGGTGATGATGATGGGGGTAGTGGTGATGATGATGGGGGTAGTTGTGATGATGATGAGGGCTGTGGTGATGATGATGGGGGTAGTGGTGGTGATGGTGGTGATGATGATGGGGGTAGTGGTGATGATGATGGAGGTAGTGGTGATTGGTGGCGGTGGTGGTGATGATGATGGGGGTAGTGGTGATGATGATGGGGGTTAGTGGTGATGGTGGCGGTGGTGATGATGATGATGGGGGTAGTGGTGATGATGGGGGTAGTGCTGGTGATGGTGGCGGTGGTGTTAGTGCTGTGCGGGCTCTGGAAGCGTGTGACTCTCCGTCTCCGCCATCGTTTGCGCAATCCAGTCGAGGTAGTTGAGCACTTTGGTGTAAACGCCGAACTTCCCTTCACGCGCGCACCCTTTCCCCCAGCTCACCTGCACAGTAGCAACGACAACGACAATGACATCAACAACACTCGGTGATCGTTATTTAGAAGCAGGAGAGAGACCTGGAGGCTGCTTTGCAAGGAAGAGCGGACGTACGAGCCAAGTCTGTGTGTTTCTATCTCGCCTCTCTTGTCTCCATGTCTCCCTGTCTCCATGTCTCCATGTCTCCCTGTCTCCATGTCTCCATGTCTCCCTGTATCCGTCCCTGCATTTGTAGTTCACTGTTTCTGACTCTGTCGCTGTCCTTCTCACTCCGTCTCTCGGGAGTCGATGGAGCTGCTGCCGCGTGCCTCCGGGAGCCCTGTACATGGAGAGGGCTTGTACCTTCACGCAATGTGGACCCCCGGCCAGGCACGGATGCTGCTGCAAACTTTAGCGACGTGTGTTCTCGTTGTTTACGACATCCTGAAACGCCCAGTGGCTTCACTGCGGCGCACGCAGAGTCTGGACAGCCCCCCCCTCCGGACAGAGGCAGCAGCAGCAGCGCCATTGCACCTCCCCGCTTGTCCCCAGAATGTCTGCTATAGGGACTCAGTGGGCAGAGTCTGCTCGGTCCCCCACCCACCCAGATCCGTGTTCCCTTGCACACCCCCTCCGCCTGTGCATTTTGTGTAATTCCTGCATTCACGGAAGCTTTAAGTGTGTGAAAAAGTGAACCCCTGGTTTTATTAGCTCAATTAAGGGAATCATTTGAATCGGGTGTTTCAAAAATTAGGTGGATCATCAGAAATGAGTTTGGGAAGCCCCACCCTATATAAATATAAACTTTGTGAGTTTGGTCTTCACCATATAGATGTGTGGAAACAAGTTATGGCACGATCAAAATACACCTCTGAGGACCTCAGAAAAAGAGTTATTGATGCTCATCAAGCCAGAAAGTGTTATAAAACCAATTATAAGGATCTGGGCCTCCATCAATCTACTGTCAGACAGAGCGTCTACAAGTGGAGAAAGTTCAAGACTCACTCTACCCAGGAGCGGTCGTCCTACCAAAATGTCTCCAAGAACAAAACGGAAAATCATCAAGGACATCACAAAGATCCCCGGAGAAACATCCAAGGATTTGCAGGCCCACCCTCGCCTTGGCGAATGTGAGTGTTCATGACTCAACTATCAGAAAAATATTGAATAAGAATGGTGTTCATGGAAGGATAGCAATGACAAAACCACTGCTTTCCAAAAAGAACATTTCTGCCTGTCTTTAAGTTTGCCAAAGAGCACACAGATGATCCACAGATGAGTCAAAGGTAGAACTTTTTGGCCTCAATGAGAAACGTTATGTTTGGCGAAAACACTGCTCTCGAACACAAGAACCTCATCCCAGCCGTCAAGCATGGTGGTGGGAATGTGATGGTTTGGGGCTGCTTTGATGCCCCAGGAGCTGGACGGCTTGCCATCATTGGCGCAACCATGAATTCTGCATTGTATCAGAAGATTCTAGAGGAAGATGTCAGGTCACCCGTCCATGAGCTGAAGCTGAACTAAAAGTGGGTCTTGCAGCAAGACAACGATCCTAAACATACAAGCAGAGCTACAAAAGTGGGTCTTGCAGCAAGACAACGATCCTAAACATACAAGCAGAGCTACAAAAGTGGGTCTTGCAGCAAGACAATGATCCTAAACATACAAGCAGAGTTACAAAAGTGGGCCTTGCAGCAAGATAATGATCCTAAACATACACACAGAGCTACAAAAGTGGGTCTTGCAACAAGACAATGATCCTAAACATACACACAGAGCTACAAAAGTGGGCCTTGCAGCAAGACAACCATCCTAAACATACACGCAGAGCTACAAAAGTGGGCCTTGCAGCAAGACAACGATCCTAAACATACACGCAGAGCTACAAAAGAATGGCTTCAGAGGAAGAAATGTCCGCGTATTACAATTGACTCGTCAAAGTCTGGACCTAAACCCCATCGAAATGTTGTGGCAACGACCTGAAGCGAGCTGCCCATGCCAGGCAGCCCTCAAATGTCACCGAGTCGAAGGAGTTCTGTGAGGAGGAATGGGCCAAAATTCCTCAAATTCGAAGTGAGAGACTGACTAACGGTTACAGGAAACGCTTAGTTGCAGTCGTTGCTGCTCAAGAGGGTGACACCAGTTACTGAATCTAAAAGTTCACATACTTTTTCACACGTGGTTATGAAATTTATAATCATTTGATGGATAAATAAATGTTGAAAGAGTATTATGTTGTGTCATTTGTTTAATCACGTTGTTTTTTTAATCTAGTACTCGTTAGTTCATGAAGCCTATCTTCGCCAGGCAAAAGTTTTCAATAAATATAATAATTAACCTGATATTATTGTTTACAATTTTTTATCTACGATCAGACACTAACAACTACTCCAAACATTTGCATGTTTCCACAAATTTTTTTACGACTTGATCAAACTTCTTATATTGAAAGACGTACCCACCGGAAACACGCTCAATTTAATGATTCCGGTTTTTTTATGAGAAATAACAAAAATGTATTATTCAGATTTGGACATAAAATGCGTATTTTTTGTTGTTGTTAAATACCGCTTGAATATGTCAATATAGAACAATGGCTCTGGCTGTCATTTTATTTTCTGTTTAACACTCTATGAAACAAAAAAAACCGCAATCTTATATTTTGAACGGTTTCTGAATGACACCACGCACAAACATTTATGGGGCACTTAAAACAGAGATTTGGGGCCCTTAAAATGAAAAAATCTTTGATTAAAAAAAAAATCTCTTGCTGTTTATGTTATAAAAGCTACCTGTGTACCGAATTTCAGCTTTCTACCTTGTCGAGAAGTACCCTTGAGGTTTATGAGACGTACGTACAGATTAAGGTCTTTATTTATGTCGAAGATTCTGACTTAGATTAAGATACAATAACATTGTAGGTTTGAAATATGTAATATGTTAAAATCCTAAGGAGGTTCACAAACCTTTTCTCGGCACTGTATTGTCATGCGTTGTGAGGACCTGTGCAAGTGACGCTGAATACAATCAAGCATTTGGTGAGGTGATGGGTGAGTGGAGGGCACAGCGGGTGAGCGGAAGGTGAGCGGTGGGTGAGCGGAAGGTGAGCGGATGGTGAGCGGAAGGCGAGGTGGTGGGTGAGTGGTGGATGAGCAGTGGGCAAGTGGTAGGCAAGCGGTGGGCGAGGTGGTGGGTGAGCGGAAGGTGAGCGGTGGGCAAGGTGGTGGGTGAGCGGAAGGTGAGCGGTGGGTGAGCGGGAGGTGAGCGGTGGGCGAGGTGGTGGGTGAGCGGAAGGTGAGCGGTGGGCGAGGTGGTGGGTGAGCGGAAGGTGAGCGGTGGGTGAGCGGAAGGTGAGCGGAGCGCGAGGTGGTGGGTGAGCGGAAGGTGAGTGGTGGGCGAGGTGGTAGGCAAGCGGTGGGCGAGGTGGTGGGTGAGCGGAAGGTGAGCGGTGGGCGAGGTGGTGGGTGAGCGGAAGGTGAGCGGTGGGCGAGGTGGTGGGTGAGCGGAAGGTGAGCGGTGGGTGAGCGGAAGGTGAGCGGAGCGCGAGGTGGTGGGTGAGCGGAAGGTGAGCGGTGGGTGAGCGGAAGGTGAGCGGTGGGCGAGGTGGTAGGCAAGCGGTGGGCGAGGTGGTGGGTGAGCGGAAGGTGAGCGGTGGGCGAGGTGGTGGGTGAGCGGAAGGTGAGCGGTGGGTGAGCGGAAGGTGAGTGGAGCGCGAGGTGGTGGGTGAGCGGAAGGTGAGTGGAGCGCGAGGTGGTGGGTGAGCGGAAGGTGAGCGGTGGGTGAGCGGAAGGTGAGCGGTGGGCGAGGCGGTGGGTGAGCGGAAGGTGAGCGGTGGGCGAGGCGGTGGGTGAGCGGAAGGTGAGCGGAGGCTGAGCCGTGCTTCTCACCACCCCGGTGAGGAACCAGGTGCTGCCGTATCGCGTGGCGTGGGGCCCTCCGCTGTCTCCGCTGCACGAGTCCTGGCCGCCCGTCTCGTAGCCGGCACAGAACATGTTGGCCGTGATGACTTTGCTGCCCATAGCGGCGCGGCATTGCTCATCGTCGACGTATGGCACCTGTCCCGCAGCCCAAATCGGCCAATCGTTTGCTCGCTCGCTCTTTGCTCATTCACTCACTCGCTCATTATTTTACATTCACATAGAGAACGCCTTAGCTCAAGCCGCTTGACGTAGTTTGAAAAAGGCGGTAACAGAAATAGAGTGATTAGTATGGTAGGAGGCGTGTAAAGTTCGTGGAATGAGTGACCACAACAGAGAAGGGCACACGGGGGGGGGGGGTCACGGAAGGGCTAGAGGGGAGGGACGGGACGGAGTGGAGGGGCGAGGGGTGGGAGGAGGAAGGGAATGGCCAATAAAAGAGGTGAGACTTTGAGAGAGGAACGGAAGGAGGTTAAGGAGGGGGACTTCTTTATGTAAAGGGGAAGTGTTAGTCTATGGGCAGTGCTGAGTCTATGGTGCAGTGTTGAATCTATGGGCAGTGTAGAGTCTATGGGCATTGCAGAGTCTATGGGCAGCGTTGAGTCTATGGGCAGCGTTGAGTCTATGGGCAGCGTTGAGTCTATGGGCAGTGCTGAGTCTATGGGTAGTGCTGAGTCTATTGGTAGTGTTGGGTCTATGGGCAGTGCTGAGTCTATGGTGCAGTGTTGAATCTATGGGCAGTGTAGAGTCTATGGGCATTGCAGAGTCTCTGGGCAGCGTTGAGTCTATGGGCAGCGTTGAGTCTATGGGCAGCGTTGAGTCTATGGGCAGTGCTGAGTCTATGGGTAGTGCTGAGTCTATTGGTAGTGTTGGGTTTATGGGCAGTGCTGAGTCTATGGGCAGTGCTGAGTCTATGGGCAGTGTTAGTATATGGGCAGTGCTGAGTCTATGGGCAGTGCTGAGTCTTTGGGCAGCGTTGAGTCTATGGGCAGTGTTAGTCTATGGGCAGTGCTGAGTCTATGGGCAGTGCTGAGTCTATGGGTAGTGCTGAGTCTATTGGTAGTGTTGGGTCTATGGGCAGTGCTGAGTCTATGGGCAGTGCTGAATCTATGGGCAGTGCTGAGTCTATGGGCAGCGTTGAGTCTATGGGCAGCGTTGAGTCTATGGGCAGCGTTGAGTCTATGGGCAGTGTTAGTCTATGGGCAGTGCTGAGTCTATGGGCAGCGTTGAGTCTATGGGCAGTGCTGAGTCTATGGGCAGTGCTGAGTCTATGGGTAGTGTTGAGTCTATGGGCAGTATTGAGTCTATGGGCAGTGTGAATATATGGGCAGCGTTGAGTCTATGGGCAGTGTGAATATATGAGCAGCGTTGAGTCTATGGGCAGTATTGAGTCGATGGGCAGCGTTGAGTCTATGGGGAGCGTTGAGTCTATGGGAAGCGCTGAGTCTATGAAAAGTGTTGAGTCTATGGGAAGTGTAATTCTATGGGCAGAGTTGAGTCTGCAGGCAGTGCCGAGTCTACGGACAGCGCTGTACAATGTACAGGGGAGGCTGATTCTAGTGGAGCGGTGCATGTGTGCGCGCACGAGCAGGCGCACGGCTCTCACCTCCAAGCGCTGCAGGATCCCCGCTGCCGGCCCGAACTCGTTCAGCTTGCCCCATCCGCTCACCGTCCCCGCCACCACGGAGCGCAGCACCCCCTGAGCGCGATCGCACGGCAAGCGACAGCAACAACGATTGACGATGGCGACACACGTCACGCTGGGAACTTCGTGGCGGGACGGGAGAAGTGACGAGAACACGGCGCGTGAGTGTTGCACCGGTTGCCGAACGAGTGCATTAAACCAGGTGGCACTCATTACACACAAAGTGCTTGCCACAAATGAAGCCACGACACCTCGCAGATCTCGACAAGGAGCATCAACTCCGGTCATCCTCGCAGTAGCAGCGGCTTTTGGGTAACCATCGAACGCCGCATCTCGTGCCTTCAGATGCTCTTTCGCGGCCGTCTGGAACGCTCTTCCGATATTAGGAAGCCACTGGAGCTATGCACTTTTAAATCTAAATTGAAAACTCAATTTTTTTGGAACTGCTTTTAGTGTTTAGTTTGTTGTCCTTCCCCCGCATCGCCGATTAGCACGGTTGGCTACGTACGGTGCGAATGAAGTTCAACATACACGTGGATAGGAAGTGCGTGCAGGACGGAGGAGGGATGGTGTTAGCAGCTTAGGAGTTGGAACGAGAACATGGCAGGGAAGTGTAGATATGGTCAGGCACAAACAGTGGTGCTAGGTGGGGACACGTGTGCAGGATGGGGGGGGGGCGAAACGTCAGACATCGTGCGGAACAAAGTAATAAAATAAAACAATAAAATTCTCACGACGTTTCGGCCACAACACAAGTGGCCTTCTTCAGGTGAAAGGAACAAACCTGTCGGGACGACAGAGCTACAATGTAGCGAGCACCTATGTTCCTTTCACCTGAAGAAGGCCACTTGTGTTGTGGCCGAAACGTCGTGAGAATTTTTTCTGATTTATTTTATTATTTTATTCTCATTCTACGTGACTTTACCGAAAGAACCAAAGATGATGAATCCTTGCAGTCACGAAAGCTTTAAATCGAAATCGTGTGAAACGTCAGGCGATTTGTAACAGTTACGGAGTTCTCGGCGTCGCTCACCCTGACGAACCGCTGGTTGGGCAGGCAGATGGGCAGCGCGTATCTCGTGAACTGGATCGGGCGGCTCAGCTGGATGAGCGAGATGTCATTGTCGTAGGAGATCTTTATGTTGAAGCTGGGGTGGTCGACTATTCGGAGGATGCCGAGCTCCTGCTCCGAACCTTCCACCTCGTCCACATTGTGCTCCCCTGGGAGACAATGCAAACAAAGACAAATATCCTCCGTGTAGTCTTAACAGACTGTTGGCGCAAGTGCTGTTAGCGAGCACCTATGGACGCTGGAACGGCACACGTGGGGCGGGTGCTCAGCACCAACCCCCGGCCGCATTTTGTCTCCCGTGTGGCCATGTTTACACATTGCGCCGGGTACTCATTTGAGGCTGAGTCGACCCAGGGGAGGCCCAGAACCGGGTTCAGATAATCGTCATTAGTGTTGGCCATGCGCGGGAATCGCCGGGTTCGTAGCACAGCGCCCTAAACCGCTTCGCCAACGCTCCCTATATGCACACACACGACAATATGCGCGCGCACACACATACGCAGTCCACGTCCAAAGAGACCAACGATGCACCATGCAGCCTTTATCAGGCTGGTGACGCTCTTAGCGAGCACATGAAAGTGTGGACTGCGCATTTGGGGGATAATGGGGTGGCCAGAAACCACACCTGGCCATCTTTGTCTGCCCTGTGCTGCCTTCAGGACTGACGACGATGATGACGATGGGTGTTGACTCTCGAGTGTTGCCGCTTGTTCAAAGTGGAGACACCAAGTACTACGAAAGCAAATGGCAACATGACCCCTCGCACTTTCCTGCTTTTTTGCCAGCCAGCCCAGGCCTCCCGACATACTGGAGCTGGCTTCTCATTCTTGCCGGGGACGTCAAATTGAATCCAGGCCCCGTTTTTCCCTTGTGGCGGCTGCAGCAAGAACGTCAATGCAAATTCTATCCAATGCAACGGTTGTAAAGCTTGGTACCACAAACGCTGCACTATTTTAGCCCGCATCCCCAGTGCAAATTCCCGCTGGTTCTGCAAATATTGTACATCATCCACTGCAACGACTCCACCTTGCACAACCACACTAGCACCACCACCTCATCCATCGCAACTACCGTTTCAACCACAACAAAACGTCCACAACAAAAACGACCTAAAAATCCTTCAATTAAACATCAACGGCATCAACAACAAATCTCTTGAACTCAGCACCTTCCTACAACAAAACTCCATTAATATAGCCGCCATCCAAGAAACAAAATTAAAATCAACTTCTCGCCCACTCAACTTTCAAAATATCACTTTTCTCCGTCGAGACCGACCAACAGCTGGTGGCGGTTTAGCTTTCCTCATCCATAAAAGCATTCAATTTGAAGAAATTAAAATCCCATTGCCTCCTTCTGATATCACCACAGAAGTCTTAAGCGTCCGTATCAAATCCCATCTAGGCCAACTCACTGTAATCAACGTCTACATCCCACCGACCAAGTTCTTGCCCTCGCAACTATCAGTTCAATATTAGTCGACTTTTACCAAACAACGACTCAATTGTTATTGGAGATTTCAACGCCCACAACAAACTTTGGCACTCTTCCCTTTCAGATGCACGTGGCGACCTCGTTGCTGATATCTTGAACGGCTCCCCCTATGGGGTACTCAATGAAAAGATGCAAACTAGAGTTCCGTCATGTGGCCCTTCATCCTCACCGGATATCTCAATAGCGTCAGGAAACCTCCTTTCATCTATTGATTGGCAAGTCTTTTCGGTCCTTGGATCCGACCACCTACCTATTGTGTTGACCCTCAATGCCGCCAAGCCTTCACAAACTCCTAAACACCGCTTGTATTACCACTTTTAAAAAGCCAAGTGGCCACTTTTTACTTCAGAATCAGAAGCATATTTGCCGACATCAACCATATCCACATATCCACACATAACTCTGAAAAGATTTTCAGAAACATCATCGCAACTACCACCAAGCACACCATCCTGGCGGGTTGCTACAAGCAACACCTTCCCTGCCTCCCTAAAGAAGCCTCAATGGTAATAAACCAACGAAACACTAATCAGTCTAAAAATCCTACATCACCACAAATCCCAGCCTCCAATATTGACATCACTAAGCTAATCATTCAAGCCAAAACAGAACGCTGGCACGAGTTTCTTGAATCTTTTAACCACCGCCAAAACTCATAAAAACGTTGGAACACCATCAAAGCCTTAGACGGACACTCCAAACCACCACCAAATTGCGCAATCACTTTCAACAACAAATCCGTCATAAACAACAATAACATCACCAACCACTTCAACAAACTTTTCTCATCAGTCATCCCACACTCTTCCAATAAATCCACCCGTCAAAAAATCCGTCAAATCAAGGAACTACCCCTAAACGACGCCCCCCAATTTAGCCTTGAAGAGGTGAAACTCGCTATCAAAAAAGTCAAAAATTATTCTGCAATTGGCCCCAATGACATAGCTATGCCCCACCTCAAACACCTCGGCCCCCTTGACATGAAGTTTCTCGCTTCCACCATTAACGCCTCACTCCAGTGCAACCTCATTTCGGCCATCTGGAAATCATCGACAATCATCCCACTTCCAAAATCCGGCAAAGACCTAAATCAAGCAACGTCCTACAGGCCAATTTTTTGCCCATCAATCAAGATTTTAGAGGCCCTCATCCTTCCAATCATCACCACCAACTTACCTCCATCATCTCACCAACATGGCTTTCGCCCTGCACACTCAACAACAACAGCTCTTCTCATCCTAACCACCCAAATTGCAAACGGTTTCAATGATAAAAAGCCCCCATCTCGCACTATCGTCACTTCCCTTGACCTTACAAAGGCTTTCAACATCCTTAATCACCTTATGCTCATCAATATCATCCAGGGTTCTACGCTACCACCAGGCCTTGTTTGCCTTCTTACAAATTACCTAAGGGGCGGCCAATCACGCACTCTCTTTCGTGATATTCAATCCTTACGAAACATTCATGCAGGAGTATCACAAGGTTCCATAATATCCCCAGCGCTGTTCAACGCTTACCTCCACGATCTACCAACTCCTCCAAAAGGAGTACAAGTAGTCAGCTATGCCGTCGACATCACAGTTTACGCTTCTAATCAAAATATACCCAAAATGGAAAACTCTATCAACTCCTATCTAAAATGGCTCAGCACTTTCCTAGCCAATAGATCGCTTCAACTCTCAACATCCAAATCAACAATCACCATTTTCACACCTGATCCTCATCAAGCCAACTTGCATCCCAACGACATAATAAACAACCAACGCCTTTCACTCGCTCAACACGGCAGAGACGTCCATGCAAAAGTTAACAAACGAAATAACATTTGACTAGCTTTAGCCGGCACATCTTGGAGTCAACAAAAGTAGACTTTACTCCTAACCTACGAAGCCATTGGACGTCCCATCATCAATTATGCCAGTCCCATTTCGTGCCCAAACCTCTCCTCTACAGGTTACCAAAAGCTCCAAACCACCCAAAACCCCAGGCACTTCGCCTAACTACAAGATGCCACCCCATGGCGCCCATTGGTCATCTCCACCAAGAAACCAAAGTTCTTCCGAGAACACTGCAAGCTTCTCACCGATCAATATCTGGCTTCATGCCACTCGACAACATATCCTTGCACAAAGCTACTCAAAGCCCCCCTGCACCTGCTAGGGAAATGAAATCCACCTTGCTTTCCATCAGCTTTGGCAACGTGCGATCGCCTTTAAACGCTCTTCCACCAAATAGCACCAGCAAATCAATTTTGAACCACTTGCACACCGCTGCCAACATGCACTGCCTGAACGCCTACAAGCCCCCAATGTCGTGCGAGGGGGTTGGCCCCCACCCATAGCAGACGACGAAAAATCCCTGACCCGGGCAACTCGCACAAAACTGGCCCAACTCCGTTCAGGTGACTGCTCCATGCTAGCCGATTACCAAAATCGAATCGACCCAAACGCCCCAAACTGCTGGTGTTGCTTGCCCTTTGTGCCAAGCAATGCCAGAAGATGCCTCCCATTTTCTCAGTTGCCCAAAACGCGGACCAAAAATGTAATCGATTGATCTCTGGCTAAACCCTTCCAAAGTGGCGACACAACGCCACCTACAAACAGAAAGTTGCGAGGAAAACAACAACAACAACAACAACAACAACGGGTATTGAACTTGCCAGCTAATATTCGAAGGTTCTTGGTCTCGTATATGGTGCAGTGTGCGGCTGTCAGGATCCACTGGGGGCTGAGAATGGTTCCTCCACACACGGGTGCTCCCTTGCGGCTAATCAGCACCTGCAAAGAGAGGAATTGTTCATGCTCTCGCATCATCGGCGACATCATCACCAGCAGCAGCATGTGGTGGTTGTAAAAACGTGGGAACTCCCACCTCTTCCAACACATCAGAGTGGATGAATTGGGCCAGAGTACCCTCTCGAGCAGTGGTTCTTGACCTGGGGGTGCACAGACCTCCTGGTCGTGCGAGATACCCTTTCTGGGGGTGTGGGACATGACCAGATTTTTTCACGCGGTAAATCATCGAAAATAACAAATTAAGCACGGGCCCGTAAGTAGAAGCCGATGTGTTTATTAACTTTTTTTAACGATTGAGAAGCCAATGGGGTGCAAGGCTGCAGTAAAGGTTAAGAACCACTGCTTTAGAGTCTAATGCGAGCTGTCTGGAGCTACTCCCCCTCGTGTAGGCCCCTTCCTCCAGCAGTGGCGCGAGAAGCAGCTGCGGGGCTACGCCTTTACGTCTCACCTGCACGCTGTTGCCGTGCGCGCTCCGTGACCTCCGCGAATATTTACTATTCACCAGGTGTAAGGCCCACTGAGCTACTAGACAGCGCGTTTTCATAAGCGACCTGGCCATCACAAATGAGAGAGCTCAACGAAGTGGCTTTTCGCGTGGAAATCTGTCGCAGCCACCAAATAATCTAATCGCGTGATGTTGATTCTCAATGCTGAGGGGAAACACCGGAGGACCCAGAGAACAATCCGCGTGACCACTGGGAGAGAGACACGCACATTCCAAATATACAGCAGCAGGTGTCAGGGTTGGGATCAAATCCACGACCTCCTGCATACCAGGCGAGGAAGTCAACATCTCCTAGCCACCGTGACGACCTCACCTGCCAGGGGCACTGCCCGCGCGGACACTCCTTGCCTCCCACCACGCGCCCTCTGTGGTTCGATTGTCCGAACGAGGCTGGAGGCTCAGAGTCGTCGCCGATGCTGCTGCTGTTGACGTTGGCAGCGTGAGCGCTGGGCGGGACGTGGGTAGCAGCCTCGGAGGAGTTTCCCATGAGAATCTCGGACTTGGGCGACACGACACGGCCACACGGGAACGCCTCTGCGGTGGCACAAACGCGATCGATTCGTTCGTCCGTCACCGTCACCACCACAACCACAACCACCAGCATAATCATCGACGCGACCGGCACACGAGTGCGATTTCATCGGCTGCGTCTCCACGGTGGTCGGTGCTCCCCGGCGCGTTCCCACAAAGGCAACCGCCGCAGGACTCGCGATCGTCACGGGAACTGGAGGCGACGTCGCCGCCGAGTCGGAGCAGACGAGCCCGACGTGAGTAAAAGGCGCAGCAAGGGAGTCTCGTGGAATGTTCGGACGGTTCCTGGAAGAGCTGCCAGCCGGGCCTCCCCTCCCCCCCTTCCCCAACCCTGCCGAGCGCCTCGACTTGGTACGGCGAAAACTCCGGTGTACGACTAAGCTCCTTTCGTACGTCGTTTCGCTAATGCGTCACTTTATTATTAACACCGCCACCCAACCCCACATTTCGCGTCGCTGACAGCATCGCTGTCTGTCCTCTCTCGTTATCCGTTGCCGCTCGGCCTTCTCCACCACCACCCACCGCTACCCTTTAAACCGCTTAGATTTTACGTTGTTTCGGTGTCCGTCGCCGCACCTCTCAGGAACGCATCCCCAACGTAAACCGGGGCATTACCGTACCGCATGGGAGGCGCAGTGTGAATGTTCAACGTTGATGACGACGATGTTGACGATGATGATGGTGATGATGGTGATGATGATTCCATTACCCGTGGCCATGCAGGATCGCCTGTTCCTGGCGAGATGATATCCGGGCGCACAGCTGCACACCGCCCCCCTGCGCCCTCCCCCAGCCGCAGCCGCCTCCTCCTCTTCGCAGTAGTGGTCACACCGGCCGTTGTTGACCTTGCACGACTGACCGGTGCTCACCTCTGGGGCAGAGGAAGCAGCGACAGCGGTTCAAGAGGCGCACGCGACATCAAGGCAACGTTGTAGCCGCTCGACCATTCCATCGATACCTCCTCGTCGATCTCGCCGTGGAGTATAATCCATCGTCACGCGAACTCCATTCATCCTCGCAGCAGCGGCTTCTGGTTGGCCGTCGAACAAAGAAGGGTTAACGCATCGCACACTTTCAGGTGCGTGTCTGCGGCCGTCTGGAACGCTCTTCCTTCTGATGTTAGGAAGCCACTGGAGCTATGCACTTTTACATTTAGATTGGAAACTGTAGAACTGCTTTTTGTGTGTATTCTGTCTTTCCTTCCCCCGCACCTATGATTAGCACGGTTGGCTACGTACGGTGCGAAAGAAGTTCAACATACGTACATATATCAACCGTTGTACTGTAGAGTACTATGATCCCGAAATGTCAGGGTGCTTTTTTATTTTCTCATAGGACGCGACGGTAATAAATAAAAACATTAAACGTATTGTTCTTTGATAAATGTCAATCTCAATTTTAATTCTCGTCTATGGCAATGTGTTCAGTAGCGTATTGCCATTGACGAGGTCTGCTGCTGGTGGCCACGACGAGAGGGTTTCAGCAGAGAGAGAGAGAGTTCGTGTCGTGTCACTGTTCCTCTTTCTCCGTTGAAGGTGCGGGTATACTGTGTGGGCCAGTGTTGGGGTTTCATGGCCATAATCGTATGACCGTGGCTTGTGTCTTTAATTGTACATTCATGAAGGAGATCTGCGCATTGGCCCGGTGATGTTCAGATGTGGTTGATGGTTCCACCACCCCGGTGTCTTCATGGAAAATCAAAGCCACGAGGTTGCGATGCTTGGGTCTACGAACGAGGTGTTTGTTCTGAAAGTCTTCGTTGTTGCACTCTGTTCACCAGGGTTCTCCCGGTTCTGGGTGAAATTCTGGGATGCTGACAGCAACAGCAGCACCAGCAGCGTGATCCCAGAAGTGGGATCGGGACTTGAATCGGTGACAAAGGTGACATTGTTGACGTATTGGTCGTATGTTACGTTGAATTTCTTTTGCACCATACTCAGCGATCCGCGCTAAGAAGAGGTGCGGGGGAAGAACAACAAACTAAACACCAAAAGCAGTTTTAAAGATATGAGTTTGTCAATCTAGATGATGATTTCAAGTGCATCATAGCTCCCAGTGGCTTCCTAATATCGGAAGGGAAGAGCGTTCCAGACGGCCGCAGAAGCGCGGCTGAAAGCGTGCAATGCGGTGACCGTCCAGTCGATGGGTAAGTGGCATACATCGATGAAAAAAATGCCAATTGTTGGGGTTTCAGTGGAGGAGGTGGGTTCTGGTGATAGCTCCCCCGTCTCCTTCACCAGATGCGCCACTGGGGCCCCACCTTGTGGGACTCACGCTCGATGTGAACAAAGAGACAGGAAGAGGAGACAAATAAATAACTAATATTAAAAAAATACTTTTTAAAAACACGCTTTAATGAAATGTACCGTACTCGTAATGGCAGAACTCCACGACTCCAGGAAGTGGCCCCGAAGCTTGCTATAACGTAAGGGGGCCGTGGGCAATTACAGCCAACGTCAGTTGAACGTGGACAATTAGATACAAGCCGAAACATAACATATAAAAAAAAGTTTTATGTTTTTAAAAATGTTTTTACGACATAATATAGTATTGTCATCAGTATTACATAAGTATACCAAGTTTGCAGTCGATACCACATTGGGAAGTGGGTAAAAATGTAGTTACAAGAGTTGAAGATACAACAACAACAGAGTGAGTTAATAAAAAGCGTGTAATAATAATAGGTTTTTACCCTTTCTGGCAATAAAAAACAGGGGGTGTTAAGATGTTCAAACGCCACAGATACATTTTTCAAGGCATCGAGTCTGCATTAACCACACATAACACTGGTGAGACAAGGCCATCAATCGGTTTCAAATATAATGCATATATTATCAGACGATGTTTGTGTGCATCTTTTGCCACAAGTGTGTGTGGTTAATTCAGACTCGATGCCTTGCAAAATGTATCTATTTGGTGCTTGAACATCTTAACACCTGTTTTATTGCCAAAAAAAGGGGTAAACCCAATTCTTCATTTCTCATCATTTTGAATACGGGCAACGATAACAATGAGAGGAGGGCGAGAGAGAGCGAGCGAGCGTGCACGCCAGCTACCGTCTGCGGATTGGCGGCGTCCTCACCTTGAGAGCACACGCGGCCCTCCCAGCCCCGCGGGCACACGCACATGTAGACGGTGTGCGTGTGCTGGCACGTGCCTCCGTTCTGACACGGGTTCGACAAACACGGGTTGGGCCCTTTTGGCAGTGGGGGACACGAAAACAGCAGCAGCAGCACACATCACGTGCACAGCACACACACGCAGCACACACATCGCGTGCACAGCACGCGCAGCACACACACGCAGCACACGCACAGCAAAGGCAGCACACACACGCAGCACACACACGCAGCACACGCACAGCAAAGGCAGCACACACACACGCAGCACACACACGCAGCACACACACGCACAGCAAAGGCAGCACACACACACGCAGCACACACACGCAGCACACACACGCAGCACACACACGCACATCAAAGGCAGCACACACACACGCAGCACACACACGCAGCACACACACGCAGCACACACACGCACAGCAAAGGCAGCACATACACGCAGCACACACACGCAGCACACGCACAGCAAAGGCAGCACACACACGCGTCACACGTCACCGTGGTGGTGGTCACCATCACTCGAGCCCGCCGCTACGTCTCGAGGCGCGCCCAGCCCCAGGGCACCCCTAGCGGCAGCTGTCCCCAGCCCGGCGCAGGGCGCGCGAGTGAGCGCTACTCTGCAAGTAAGGGGGTCGCGATAACTCTGCATGTGTGGTTTCGCCAATGAAGTAATTTTGCGAGTACTAAATTAATTTCAACTTTTTATTTCTTACCAGGTAAGGCCCACTGAGCTGTATAGCTCTTTTTTTTCAGAAGCGATCTGGCTATCACGAATTAAAGTGGCCTACCATCATGTTGAAATTGTTAGCAGACAAATACTCTAAACGCGTGATTCTGTATGTGGAGGGGACAAAAACCCGGAGGACAAGGAGAAAAATTGACACGGCCACAGGGAAAGAGACAGCAGTTGTCAAGGTCGCGACCGTGGCGCCCCAACAGCAGAGTTTTATGTTTTGATATTCGTAAAAAATAATTTGTAACGTTTTACTCTAGGAAAAATAGTGCTGTAGCGAATCAGCGTTGCACGGGGCCGCGCTAAGCGAGGTCTGCCTGTAATGTACCGGATACATTTTTTGGCGAATCTGGAGCGTGAGTGGCCTATTCGTTTCGAATAACGTCACGGGATCTTTAACGTCCGCTGTACTCCACAAATATAAATATTAACACGTAGGCTTTCGCGACCAATATCCATAATATCGTTTTTTTTGGGGTTAGATCGCATAAATATACATTATGGAAAACAAAGATCCCCCGCACAGCCTTCGACAGTCCTGGCAAGTGCTGTTAGCGAGCACCCCAAAAAATAACAAACAAAAAACTACGACGTTTCGATCTCAACATAAGCAATCATCAGGAAAAAAAACGAAACGTAGTCTTTTGTTATTTTCTTTCAACCTATCCACGTGACTTTACCGAAAGACTCAAAAATATGAATTCCTGCAGTCACGAAAGCTTTAAGTCAATATTCATCCGAACGATGTTTGGTATTTTCACAGCGATGCAATCTGACTACTCGGGTGATGCTCTTGCAATGCAGGCCACGCGGCACAGCGCTCAGAGGACGTGACCTTCTTAAAATCGTGACTTCAAGTGAACCTTATGGCGGGACCCCGGGGTTCCATAGGCCACTGGCTCTCGCATAAACTGCGTTGCGACGTTATTGTATGTCTGTTGAAGGCGAACGATACGGCAATCTATTCCTCTCGACGAGCTCTACACGATGCGCTCATCAAAGCTTAAACGTTTTGTTTATGACTACGGCAATTTTGGCAACGACGGGCACTTGGTGAAGAACGAGAGGATTGATTTCTGGTGGGTCACGGCGTTTGTGTGCGCGGTGGGACGGAGTCGCCATAAGGTTAATTTACGTTGGTTGTGGGCCCCGCACTAAACCCTTTCAAGCTATCAACTCCGGTTCGGTGATTCTGCACTTGCTTTATTACTATAGTACTATACTGCTCTTCAACTTTTACGAACGACTGGGTGTTTTAGGTTAGCGATGTGTCGCATTATCTGGCTGTGTAGCAAATGGAAAAATACAATTACTTTACTATGCAAGCTAAACATTTGTGTTTTAATATTTATGTGTTTCTTTTAATTTAGGGCCCCTTTATAACATATGCTACAGGTCCCGCACTACTTTCATCTGGAACTGACTGTACCTCAAATAAGCACGGAGAGAGGTGGACGCTTGGAGTTACAATGAGAAACAATTAAAACGGAACATGCAGGGCATGAGAGAACATGGGCAGGATATTCGACGTAATTTTTACTTGTGAATAAAAGTACGCGGACTTACTTATGTATAGAGTCCAAAATGCATTCTGTGAACACAAGAGCAAGGACACCCATGAATGCATTGTGCGCGGTTAATGTTCAACTTGGCTTGGTATTCCAGCAGCATTGCAATAGACATTTCATCTGACATGGGAGCGTTTAAAAGATTGCACGAACTCAACATGCACTATTCTATTCTTGGGTATGGCAATTTATTTTTTCAGGAGCCAAATGCCAATGTCGAGGCCAATGTTACAGTGAATGACACAATAGACTGGAATGACACTACAGACTTGGGTTTCTGACCGGGTTAACCCATCGGACAAATTATTTGGTGATACTGTGCGAATATTAGGAGTTGGGTGAAATTCCACCCTCCTCACACCATCATTTCCTAACTCGGCGTAGAATAGATATTTGACCGCTGTCATCAACTCGACCAAGAGAACCACAGGAACTCCATAGCCTGAGACGTGACTAGAATTCCACGGGTTCACATCAACTAGACTAAGCCTGTGAATAAAATAATCCAAAGAATGCTGCCTAAATTAAAAGCTGCTTCACGCCAACATTTAATAACGAAGAGTTGTACTATGAAAACATAAGAATAGGTTTTACCCCTTCTGGAAATAAAACAGGTGTTAAGATGTTCAAACACCAAATATAAACCTTTTGCAAAAATTAAGTTCGCATTAACCGCACGTACTTGTGGTGAACATGCAAACAAAGCATGTTGTGATGAAATATGCCATTGTCTTTGAAACTGATTAGCCTACACCAGTGACAGCCTTATTTAGGGCCTGGTCTCACCGGTGTCAGACCAGAGAACGCCAAAAGGCGAACAGGACAAGGACAATGCCACCGTCAGAGCATTCATAGCTCGGGGTGATCAGCTACAAATGTGGACCTTTTTTGCCAGTATCAAAGTATGAAAAAATAAGAATCAGACTGCTGTGAAAGAATCAGCAGTCTGATCAGCAGTCTGATTCTTTCACCTGAAGACGGTCGCTTTTTGCGATCGAAACGTCGCGATCTATTCTTTTTTATACCTACGTGATGACTTTACCGAAAGAACAAAAGAGTATGGATTCCTGCAGTCACGAAAGCTTCAAATCAAGGAAGAATAGGTTTTACCCTTTCTGGCAATTAAACTGCTACAAGTCGACTCGACTAAGAGATGAACGGCGAAGAGCAATACCCAGGCCGAGACTGCAACGTCCACAGGGGTTGTCACTGCCGAGGCTAAGACCGCAGCCAGCGGGTGGTGGCTACGCTGCACGTGGCCTGTAAATCCAACACTGTGGAGGAAGCAGCAACGAGGAGGGGTTTGGTGGATCGCCGCACGAATGTCGCGAAACTTCCTTTCCGTGGGCGTCGACGAATAGCCGTAATCCTGGCTCACCAGGAGAGGGCCGACACAGTAGAAATGTGGACTTCACCTTATTCGCTTTGATGGGATCGAGTGGGTTTTCTCTGGATGCTCCGGTGTAAACGCTTCATTAATTGGCCCGTAACACCTTAACATAATGGAGACCACAGAGCCTGGGCAAATCGTCTGTGGTTCCTCCTGCCTCTTGAGTCGTCCTCTCGCTCTACTCGAGTGAGCAAATACTGTGCAGCGGTGCGTTACCAGTTGACATTCTACTGTCAACCATCATCATCATCGTGACTAAATGATTGACTACATTTTTAAAAAATGTGTTTTAAACAACGCGAACTCAACGAGCGCTGACCGTGCGTTGATCATCTTCGAAGATCTCCCTGGCCTCCTCGAAGTTGCACGTCTCCTCGCGGCACTCTCTCTCCAGCGAGCCCTGTTTCGTCTCCTCCATGCTGAAGGGCGAGTTGGCCCTGCGCTGCCGTGCGAGCAGGGACGCCGCCTCCAGCCGCGACACGAACACTGGGTGGAGGGGGTGGGGGTGGGGACATTGACGGCCCCACCAGTTTCAGTTTCATTCATTAGGTTATAACCCTGTGAGCAATGCGGCTCTTGACTCGGGTGCAACCGCAACAAACAAAAACATGAACAAGAAAAGATCTTAAACGCTCGCATGTCAGATGAAATGTCTATTGCAATGCTGCTGGAATGCCAAGTCAAGTTGAACATTAACCGCGCACAATGTATTCATGGGTGTCCTTGCTCTTGTGTTCACAGAATGCATTTTGGACTCTATACATAAGTCCGCGTACTTTTTATTCACAAGTAAAAATTACGTCGATTATCTAGCCCATGTTCTCTCATGCCCTGCATGTTCCGTTTTTGTTGTTTCTCATTGTAACTCCAAGCGTCCACCTCCGTGCTTATTTCAACGCACATTTGAGGTACATTCAGTGCCGGATTAAGCTAGTGCGGGGCCTGTAGCATGTTATAAACGGGCCCTAAATAAAAAAAAACGTTAATACTAAAACACATTCATTTTCAACTTGCATAGTAAAGTTATTGTATTTAATCATTCGCTATACAGCCGGATAGTACGACAAATCGCGAACCTTAAACACCCAGTCGTTCATAAAAGTTGAAGGCAGTATAGTACTATAGTAATAGAGCAAGTGCGGAATCACTGAACCGGAATTGATAGCTCGAAAGCATTTAGCGCGGGGCCCTTGAAAGTGCGCGCCCCGTAGCATATGTCGCTAACTTGTGCTAGTAGGATAATGCGGCACTGGGCCCCACGCCACCTTGTAGGGCATTCGAAGCCAGTAATGTACTGGGATCCATATTAGATTATCTGGTTTAGACGCACGCAATTATCCGGCCGAATCTATGTCGCGAAACCCTTCAAATTTAATTGCCAGCTTGCGCATGGGTTTTGACAAAGCGTCGATATCGTTTCAGCTCGCTCGCACGAGTCGAACTATTCTCGCGACCGCATTTAGTGATTGTATTGGATCGCTTTGCTTGAAACCGCTTCAAACACCGTCAGGTTTTTTTTTCAGGTGAGAACCCGGGAAGTCATAGGTTATGATCTGAAGAGGCTTGGTTCAGACCCGGCGATGTAGCCTGACCCGAACATGTATCGCAGTGGCTGCTCTGTTACATTGTCAGGCTACCATCGCCCTCGTGGTGCCAAAACACGATGGAGCTTCCACCTTCAAAGCTCTCACTTTGAGGACCTGGTTCAACAACGTACCAGCGATGGCGCAGTCTCTCTGATCTGGCCATTATGAATCCCCTGGTAAATAAAGAGAGACATTAAGCCCCGGGGTTTAAACCCCTGGTAAATAAAGAGAGACTTAAGCCCCAGGGTTTAAACCCCTGGTAAATAAAGAGAGACATTAAGCCCCAGGGTTTAAACCCCTGGTAAATAAAGAGACATTAAGCCCCAGGGTTTAAACCCCTGGTAAATTGTCAGGCCACCATCGTCCTCGTGGTGCCAAAACACGATGGAGCTTCCATCTTCAAAGCTCTCACTTTGAGGACCTGGTTCAACAACGTACCAGCGATGGCGCAGTCTCTCTGATCTGGCCATTATGAATCCTCTGGTAAATAAAGAGAGACATTAAGCCCCAGGGTTTAAACCCCTGGTAAATAAAGAGAGACTTAAGCCCCAGGGTTTAAACCCCTGGTAAATAAAGAGAGACATTAAGCCCCAGGGTTTAAACCCCTGGTAAATAAAGAGACATTAAGCCCCAGGGTTTAAACCCCTGGTAAATAAAGAGAGACTTAAGCCCCAGGGTTTAAACCCCTGGTAAATAAAGAGAGACTTAAGCCCCAGGGTTTAAACCCCTGGTAAATAAAGAGAGACATTAAGCCCCAGGGTTTAAACCCCTGGTATATAAAGAGACTTAAGCCCCAGGGTTTAAACCCCTGGTAAATAAAGAGAGACTTAAGCCCCAGGGTTTAAACCCCTGGTAAATAAAGATAGACTTAAGCTCCAGGGTTTAAACCCTGGTAAATAAAGAGAGACATTAAGCCCCAGGGTTTAAACCCCTGGTAAATGAAGAGAGACATTAAGCCCCAGGGTTTAAACCCCTGGTAAATAAAGAGAGACTTTAGCCCCAGGGTTTAAACCCCTGGTAAATAAAGAGAGACTTAAGCCCCAGGGTTTAAACCCCTGGTATATAAAGAGAGACGTAAGCCCCAGGGTTTAAACCCCTGGTAAATAAAGAGAGACTTAAGCCCCAGGGTTTAAACCCCAGGTAAATAAAGAGAGACATTAAGCCCCAGGGTTTAAACCCCTGGTAAATAAAGAGAGACTTAAGCCCCAGGGTTTAAACCCCTGGTAAATAAAGAGAGACTTAAGCCCCAGGGTTTAAACCCCTGGTAAATAAAGAGAGACTTAAGCCCCAGGGTTTAAACCCCTGGTAAATAAAGAGAGACTTAAGCCCCAGGGTTTAAACCCCTGGTAAATAAAGAGAGACTTAATCCCCAGGGTTTAAACCCAGGCTCTGAACGATGCTCGACAAGTGCCTCTGACCCGGCCCTTCTAAGCCCCCGTGAGACACACGCACATCAGAATCAAAATATATAGACTGGAATATTCCGATAAGCTCTGAAGCTCTTGTTCATAGATGTCCAGTACAGGCGGGTTAGTAAGTTACAACAGCAAACAATAGAAAAACGCGATAGGAGTGCAAAATTGAGATCATGGTAAGCAAGTAACTAAATGTAAATATTAAAATAACTGAATTATATAAGTCCGATTTATCCCGCTTGGGCAAGGCAGCAAAACAACAAAAATAGCTCCAGACCGCACCAAGACAACACAGCAGTAGTCTCTCAATTACATGCCAGATTAACAGTGAACTATCAATACACAGGTGATGATCAAAGTTCTAAATCAAATTTGTAAATGTGACTGCCGTATCCAGCACTCAGGACAGAACTCAAGCCTAGGAGCTCAGCAGCACTGCCTCTGTCTCCAGCACGGCCACGTTGAGCCACCAAAAGCCATTTAAAGTGTATCGGGAAATCAAACGATTGCTTGGACACTCACCTCTGGCACGAACACTTTGAAGAATGAGAAACAGACACAGCAATAAGATGGCTTTAATGTTCATTTTGAGATGTCTCGTCGCTGGCAGCTCTCAACAAGTCAAATAAAAATTCGTTTTGTGCAGAAATAATGTTTTTTTCGGCGTTAATAATTTCCCAACTCACGCTCAGCATTCCTCCCCCTGTGGCCCAATCCATGCTCCCGAAACCATCCAACTTACAATCTACAATTTGAACAGCAACAGAAAAACCCCCATGGATGTTTAAGGGAGCAGAGTACACGACCGTTTGACCTGTACAACAAACAATACCACATGTGCAGAATTGTGTGACGTTGATGTTCCTTCGTCGTCGGTTTGAGATTCGCCTCCGTACCGTCCAGAGAGCAGCGCTTGATGACACAGGCTCACATTTTGCTGATGATCTACTCGGCCAGGTCATCCTATAGGGTGGTTCAAATAGCTCCTACTTTGTGAGAACCCGACAGTGACTTGTGATATTAAGCTGGTGACCCTTGCCATGAAAATGTGGACATGCAACTGCTGGCACATGCCTGGGATTGTGAACAGCTGTTGACTGCTCTGAATGACATTCTTCCAGCAGGGGTTTAAACTAAAAATTTTTTATTTGACCAGGTAAGGCCCACTGAGCTATATAGCTCTTTATTTTTTCAGAAGCGACCTGACCACAAATGATCGCTCAACGAAGTGGCTTATCGTGTGGAAATTTATAATAGCCCAAATACTCTAAGCGCATGTTTCTAAATGTAGAGGGAAAAAACGGAAAACACGGAGAAAAAAACCACGCGACCACGGGGAGAGACATGCAAACTCCAAATATACAGGCATCAGGGTCGAGATCGAACCCATCCACCTCCTGATTGATCACGACTGGAAGTGATGATGATGATGACTTCGGCAAAACCCACATACACTACACACACAAAGATGGCTTTACTCTCCACCTATATAATATACACACAGGGTTGTGTTGTTTCTACATTAATGTTATTAATGCATTCGCCGACAGGAAGTCTCAGATATCCAGACCATCAGAGCTTCCCTCTTTAGTAATTTCTTCTTTCGTATAGCATTTTTGGGGATTGCAGATTACAAATTGTCGTCGATATTTTAAATCCAATGAGTAACTATATTAGTCTGGCCTCGTGGCCAATTACCGGTAGAGTGGCTCGCAATCGGAAGGTTGCGAGTTCAAATCCTGTTTTTAGGTTGACCCAGCTCATTATCCCATTATCCCACCCCTCCCCCCCCGAGGTCGATAAAATTGATATACCACGTTGTGATTAAGTCAACTGTGGTTGTCCTCGCCCTGCCACACGAACGTGGCATTTCCACCATTGGCTCAGGACTGTAAATAAGAGATCAGCACCGCTTCATTTGAGCAGAAATGTGTGTCCTTTCTGGGGAGGGGGGGTAGCGAGACGTTGGCAGATTTTTTAAAGAATGTAAATCATCGAAACACATGCTCAGACCTATATGTATTAACATTATACATGTTGTAACGGGTGAGAACTAAAGGGTTGCAAGGCTGCAGGAATGGTTTAAAAGCCACGTGCCCTAGTCTCTTGAGAACTTTTCAAATCAGACTACTCGAATCGATTCCTCTTACACCACCGAATTTCATTCCAGGGCTGTATAGTGGAGGGCAATCGATTCTCGTGACGTCACCACAACCAGGCCACGCCTGCCACGTGACGTAGCCCGCTTCACCCACACATCAACGCACAGACGAAGCCTGAGACGCCCCGAGCCATTTCCAAACTTCGCGTTTAAATTACAAAGAGCGACAGCTGTGGGTGACGCCGCGGGAGCGGTTCGATTGCCGCTGCCTCCGGGCGACGACTGCTTCGGTTTTGCGGCCTTGCGGGGCCAACAGGTGACGGTAGCCCCCGCTTTGACGGGGCAGGCCGCAGCAGGCCTCCTCGGAGCCTTACGTGTTTCCTGAGCGGCCTCCCCCCATGGCCTCGGGCAGCGACTCGGCTGACGAAGAGTTCTTCGACGCTGAGGATGACGTGGACTCGACGCCGTCGCGGTCAGTTGACAGCGCCTGAGATAAAATGAAACACGAAACATTTAAACTAATGCAAACATATTGAAGTGAAGCGTTTAGTACTCTTTCCAAGACGTCTGGTCAACCTGGAAAAGTAGATCAAGTATGTTTGAGTCTAGAGCAGTCGGTTTCGCCCAACCCGCGGTTCACAAGGCTGTGGGAAGTGGTCCGTGAAACTGTTGATGGAGCATTCTTCCACTAAAAAAACAATGCATTTGGTGGTCCGCGGAAATGGTTTGAATGTTGAGGGTGGGTCCGCTCGAGAGGGACTCTCCAGAGCTATCGAGCCGGGAGGCCCCTACCTGAGAAATTAATTCCGGGCCTGCTGACCGTTTGCGGTGTTTCACTGCGAGTGAATTTTACCCCAAAACGGGACCGTTCCCGTTGCGATACCGTGATGGGGAATTTTGCCGACTCGGGGGAGGAAGGCTTTCTTCCAACAGTGGATAGAACTTGGGATGCCGAGGATTAAGTTGAGAAACGTCTGATTGAATTTGGTAGTTGTTGATAACGCGCGTATTGAGTCTGATTTTGCAATGGGTGTCATACGAAGCCTATGACTAAATCATTGTAAGATAGGTTTTTAGATAAATAGGCCTTTTCCCGAAATGAATTGATGCACAGAACTTGACCCGAAATGCGTCCGGTCTGGTCAGATCTCAAAAATGTAAGCAGGCTAGAGCCTGATTAGTGCTTATAATGAGAGGCACAAACAGGTTGTCATTGGTGGCAGTGGGGCTGTGTGCTACGTTGGGAACAACACTGCAGTGCAACAAAGCGATTGCTGTACTGGGATAAGTTTCCGTGTCTTATGCTCTCTGCCTTCAACCCGGACTGACTAGCATTGTGAAGTATGGTTAGATAACGCTCACTGTCCGCACTTCGTGGGGAAGTTCTCATCCAGCAGTGGATTGGCACAAGGCCTGTAGATGTCCATGTCGCGTCGGCAGCAGTGAGGCGGGGGGGGGGTGACAGGTGGATGTTTTATTGTATGAACTGGACCGAGCTATCAAAGTGAATACTGTCACGGAAGATTTATCCAATGAGGCTAGATTTTGTACTACCACAGCCCTTACACAAAATATGCCTCGTATTTTTTTGTTCGATAAAAAAATAAACTTTTTTTTTAACGCATCCCTAAAGCCACATAGCTTTCTGTGGGTTTTGATGGGCCACTTTGTTGAGCTGTCATTTGCGGCTAGGTCGCTTCTGAAAGATAAGTTAATACCGCAGTGGGCTTTGCTTGGTAGGATGGGTATGTTTTCTTTTCATTTGCATGTGTTTGGATAATTTTTTACCTTGTACTTTATAGTACTGTCATTTTTTTGTACTGTTGTAACGTTATTACTCGCCCTTAATGGGCATCTACGAAAAATAGCTTCATAGCTCATCGGATTTCAGTATAAATAAATATTCAGATTCTGATTAATATGGGTCAATTTCGACATTGTGTCTAATCAGCAGTCCGGCTTGTGCTTACCCGTTTTGGCCAGTCGCAGACCTTTCTTGGGTTTCAATTGAAACATTAAGGGGTGCCTCTTAAGTTTAGTTTTCCCTGTCGAGTTAAATACTTAGGTTAGGATTAGAGACTAGGTGTTTTGGTGTGAAGTTTGGGGTTTGACGGTTATGCATAGGGTTTCGGGGGTTAGTTTGTGGTTAATTTTAGGGGTTATGGAAGTAGTACTTAACATTACGTTTCTGCAAGGACAGTATTCAAATGAAACTTAAATAAAGATTAACTTGTTGAAGTGTCAATAGGGCACCACGTGATTAGATCACGTTTATTTATCACTGGTCTGGCTGTGTTGTACAGTGGATGCCACTTGGTCAGGAGTGGTGAATGGATGGGTTTTCTTTTTGAAGGAACTGGACACGGCCATGGAAATGATGAGCTCCCACCACAGTCAGTTGGAGCACTTAAAATGGATGTTTTAGTAAAACTATACTTTCTAAAGTAGCATTGTGTTCCAATGAAGTACCGTTTAATGTAACACTTTGTGCTGTATAGTACTCGGATATGTTTTTAGGTTGCAATGCGTCTTTGGCATGTTGTCCGACCTTTCACTTCACCTGCTGCAGTCTTCTGGACCCTAAAAGCTATTGCCGAGGAAGATGCTCTAGCTTATATTCACTTTATAATTGATGTTATCATTGTATCTCATGCAGTGCGACATTGCATTATCTAAGCAAACGGGTTTGGACTCAAACTGGGCCAATTATAAAGTCCTAAAAAAAGGCTGCACCGAATGCCTTTGGCAAGCTAACACCTTCACCTTCCCAAACTTTTCAGAAATCCCATAAAGAGCATTTATTGTAAAACGTATGAATATGAAGGAGTACCTCCAAGGCCTTTGCTCAATGGCAGTTGCCTTTATAATAAAACGGCAATATAAATGGGTTTAACTCGCACTTTGCATCTGCAGATATCCAGCCTTGTAACACCACAATTCACCCACCATTTGATCCGCCCTCCTCCCCCCTCCCCCAATCAGCACTTTAATGTCCTACCAATCTTGAAATGTTCAGTCTTAACTTTGCTCTCCACACTAAAACCTTCCTCTGCTGAAGGTTCCAATGGCCTGCCTGCTTTTGCGCTACACCTTGTGGGGAACTTCATTGCAAAACCGATAGCCCGCATATTTAACCCTCCCCTTATTGAGACATCCATCCCTCCTGAACGGAAAACTGGTCTCGTGCACCCTCGTAGCAGTGGAGTTAACGGATGACCCTAACAATTACTGCCCAATCTCAATCCTCTCCCCTCTCATCATGATCTTTGGGAACATCTTAAAATCACAAACTTAATTTCAGAGAATATGCCGTATTCCATCCTGAGCAATCTGGCTTTCGATAAAAAATATTGTACAGCCTCTGCGGTACTCGAAACTCGTTGACGTAATCTTCAACGGTCTTGAATTTCGTCGTTATTGCACCATCCTCATGCTCGACTTGCATTTGACACTGGAAACTAAAATGCCTATTTTTTTCAAATTGTGCAATCAACTGAATTGGCAACTACATATCTAACCGATTCCAAATTGTCTCCATCAATTATACATCTTCTGAATGTATCCCTATTACTTCAGGGAGTTCCTCAGGGTTCTTTGCTTGGCCCTATCCTGTTTTCTGTGTCAACAATCTAGGCATCTACAATCTGCACTGACATTAACCTTTTTTGCTGATGATACAGTCCTGATGGCTTCTGGAAATTTCATGGAGAAGTTAGAAGAGCATCTACAACATGACTTAATTAAAGCTGGCTAAAACTCGCCATTGACCAAAGACAGTCACTGCATCACACACTTTCAGATGCGCTTCAGCGGTCGTCTGGAACGCTCTTCCTTCCGATATTAGGAAGCCACTGGAACTATGCACGATTACGTCGAGATTGAAAACTCATTTCTTTAGAACTGCTTTTTGTGTTTAGTTTTTTTGTCCTTCCTCCTGCACCTCCGATTTAGCACTTTTGGCTATGTAAGGTGGGAAAGATGTTCATCATACATACATATGTACGGAGCACCAAACCAAGGTTCTCATCGGCGCTGACTTTGTCCTTTGACAGAGGCATTTTGAGCCCCCTGAGAGAAAGAGGACCCTAGAGCCAGGGCTTGAATACAGTATATGAGAAGTGCTGGCTTAGTGCGAAACCCCCTGAGATACACCCAGCCACTTAATATTTAATATTATTAATGGAATTGTAACTCTTTTGGAACCTGGATGAAACAAGTTTTTGTTGAAGTTGCACGCCGTGGCATGCCGTGATTGCAATCATCTTTGTTAAAACAGCCACGTGCTTAATTCTTGACTTAAAGCTTTCGTGACTGCAGGAATTCATATTCTTTGGGTCTTCCGGTAAAGTCACGTGGATAGGTTGAAAGAAAATAACCAAAAACTACGACGTTTCGATCACAACACAAGCGATTGTCAGCACTTGTGTTGTGATCGAAACGTCGTAGTTTTTTTGTTATTTTCTTTCAACCTATCTACGTGAAAAAAAAATCTAGATTACTATCTACGTGACTTTACCGAAAGACCCAAAGTATATAGCCACGTGCTTGTTTGCACGTGTAACAAATCTACCAATGGCATTAGAGTTTTAAGGAAGGAGATTAGATGAATTTGGATAATTTTGAAGAAAAAAACATCGCCAATGACATCATCATATTCACAAATGACATGTTTATATCACTGATCTGCAGCAATCGTACAAATATTTCAATCAATACGATGATCATGGTCAATTATCAAACGCGTCATTCACAGGCAACGTTATTCATTAGCGGCTTCAACATCATCATCATCCTCAGCCATGACGGTGGAGGTCCTGGATGAAGGCTTCCCCAAGCTGCCGCCACCTCTCACTCTCCTGCAATGGAATATTTCTCCACGCATCTACAAACGAAGTGATTTTATCGCTCCATCTCCATGGCGGAAGTCCCCTTCCGCCATGGAGATGGAGCCATTCCGTTGTTAGTCTCACCCACCACAAGCACGCCAGCCTGGTCTCGTTTACCTATTTATTTGATCTTTTTGATTTCGGACCGTCTGTAAAAATGCCCTGGGTATGTAGTCTGCGTTTTTTTTATTATTCTTCTGAAAGTATATCTCTTTAGAAAACATTTTCCCCGTGCGTTTTGAAATGACTGATGTTTTCTTCAACATTAGCCCTCGTGTCTGCAATGCCGTCACTGTGAATGTGTACAAGTTTACACGCGTGGTGGACACACTAGAGGGCAGTGCAGCAAAAATCCACCGCTCTGCGCTTCTGCGCTTCCACGTCTAAGGTTTCCTGTCTTTGCCAAGCCCACTCCGATCAGCGTGGTGAAGCATGCTCGGATAACCCCTCACGATCTGCACCGAGGCCCTCGTCCAGCAGTGCAGTGACAAAAGCCCGCTCGCGCGTGTACACACGATCTGCTTACAAAACCATCACAAAGAAATCCGTAATCAAGTTGGGGTTTCCTTTTCGGAAGCGAATCCTG